GGGTAATGGATGTGTGGTTAGTTGCAAGTCGATCGGAGCTGATCTTTCAGGTTGCCTTGAGGCCGTTGAGACGGCGGTATGGCACTTTCGAATGAGCTTCCCCCACGGAGCCCGGCCATTCCCCGGACACGTGAACAAATGATACATACTGGCGATGCCTCTTGCTGGCAGATTTGACACGAGCACTGCCTGTGTAGCACACGACCAACTTCGAGAAGCCACACCGAGTCGAAATGCCTCTCACACTGTACGACAAAATCTACCAAGAACATTTGGTAAATCCAGACGACAAAACAGCACCACTATTATATGTGGATTCACATCTGATTTTCGAGGTCCCAACCGCTCAAGCATTTGATGGCCTCAAAAAGAACAAGCGCCCCGTGCGAAGGACAGACTTGACGTTGGCCACAGTTGATCACAATGTTCCGACAGATGACCGGTCCCAATACCGGGATGCGGCGTCTTTCGTCAAGGAGCCACAAGCCAGAACCCAGATCACATTGCTTGAGAAGAACGTCAAAGAGAACAATATCAAGTATTTAGGTATGCCCGATCGCCGGCAAGGTATTGTCCATGTCGTGGGCCCGGAGCAAGGGCTAACGCTGCCCGGATCTACAATGTTCTGTGGCGATTCCCATACGCCTACCCACGGAGCAGTGGGCGCTCTGGCTGTAAGTGGAGGAACTTCAGATATTGAACACGTCCTAGCCACCCAGACTGTGCTTCAGAAGAAGTACAAGAACTTCCGCGTTCGTGTCGAAGGCGAACTTGGTCTGGGCGTTTACTCCAAAGACATCATCTTGTATTTGCTGGGCAAGATTGGCACAGCGGGAGCGACTGGATGCGTCATTGAATTTTGCGGTTCGACCATTCGAAATCTGTCCATGGAGGCAAGAATGGTGCTGTGCAATATGAGCATTGAAGGAGGAGCTCGAAGTGGACTCGTGGCTCCCGACGAGGTCACATTCGAATATCTAAAAGGGCGACCGCTTGTTCCTTCGGGGGCAGACTGGGATAAGGCTCTTGCATACTGGAAAACATTGTATAGCGACGAGGACGCACAATGGGACTATACTGTCGACATAAATGCTGCAGACATAGTTCCGTCAATCACCTGGGGTACCTCGCCAGATGATGTCATCCCAGTTAATGGCAAGATCCCGGATCCAGCAGAGTATGACGAGAAAGAACCGTTCAAAGCCGCCGCAATCCGCCGCTCACTCAAATATATGGACTTGAAACCGAATATGCTGGCGACAGACATCAAGATCGACCGTGTGTTTATCGGATCTTGCACAAACTCGAGAATTGAAGACCTTAGAGCTGCCGCAAGAGTAGCTAGGGGTAGAAAAGTCGCGGATTCGGTTTATGCAATGGTCGTTCCAGGTTCGGGGCTGGTAAAGCAGCAAGCAGAAAATGAAGGCCTGGATGTTATTCTGAAAGCCGCCGGCTTTGACTGGCGGGAAGCTGGCTGTTCCATGTGTCTGGCCATGAATCCTGATGTCCTTGCACCGGGAGAGCGATGCGCCTCAACGACGAACAGGAATTTCGAAGGGAGGCAAGGACCTGGCGGCAGAACCCATCTCCTGTCCCCCGCCATGGCAGCGGCCGCCGCCATCAAAGGTCACTTTACTGACGTAAGGGAGTTCTTGACCTCGCAAAACGGATCGCTCGGGGTAACACAATTGACGCTCAACGGTGACAAGGTCAGGAGCTATGGTCCAATTGAGGTAACTCCCGCCGCCCACGTCTCTGCAATTGATGGCGGAGATGATGCAATTGCAAAACGACCATCGGAAGAAGCCAAGCACAGTGTGGAAGGTATCCCCAAGTTTGACGTGGTACGTTCTGTGCCCGCACCATTTGACATGCAAAATATCAACACCGACCTTGTGATCCCTGGGGAGTATCTCAAAACCACGAAAAGGACTGGCTTAGGGCCACATCTGTTTCAGGAACTGCGATATGACAGCACAACGCACGAAGAAGTTCCCGATTTTGTCCTGAACCAAGACCCTTACCGGAGATCTAAGATTCTGGTATGTACTGGGGAGAACTTTGGCTGCGGTTCCTCGAGGGAGCATGCTGTATGGGCGCTGGTCGACTTCGGCTTCCGATGCGTCATTGCTCCTTCTTTCGCTTCCATATTCTTCAACAATTCCGGAAAGAACGGGTTGCTAGCAATTCCCCTCGAAGACGTTGAGGCCCTGCAGAAAATCCATGCCGAAGGCCTCGCAAAACGTGAAGTCGAAGTGGATTTGCCCAAGCAGGAGATCAGAAATGCCGATGGCAAGCTGATTGCAACATTCAAGATGGATCCGTACACCAAGCACTGCTTGGTCAACGGTCTGGATGACATCAGTAACACGCTTTTGAGCGAAGAAAAGATCTATGACTTTGAAGTCAAGCAAAAGTCGAAGTTTCCATGGCTGTTTGGTCGCATTCGGAAACTCCAATCACCAAAGCGTCTTGGTCTTTATCTCCCTGGTGCACAAGACATCTTTGACTGGTAGGTTTTGGCATATGGTGGAGGCAAACCGGACGCCATCCGTCACACATATCCAGCTGATGTCGGCCAGCACGTAGATAGTTTAGCTAACTGCTTTCATTGAGCCAAGAAAGCCATAAACCCCAATTCCCAATAACATGCTTTTCACAGTCGTTTCCAAGGCCTCGAGCTCGGGTTCTCGGGCTCATTTTGCCCGCAATTGTTAGAATTATGGCGACGTGCTCTCGAAGCGTGGGCACGCCAGCATTCTCTCAAAGAACCAGGATAGAGCGGAGAGCGGAGACCGCACCCCACGCCTATCGCCCCCACGAGTGTGAAGGTTTCGACCCGGAGCCTTGGGCTGCCCCAAGGGTGGTGGCGTCGGACTTTCGCCGTTAGCAGTGGGGAACCATGGTGAGCCGTGTGGGTGAACTGAGAGAGAATAACTGTTGAGTGAATGGTGGGATATACTCTTTCAGGTCGATAATTAAGTCGAGAACAAAAGACGAAAGACCGGACAAGAACTTCCGTTGAGAGGAGTATCAACATGACGATCTCCTATCCGACAGTGTCGCCACTTCGTTGCGGCTATCTCTCTCCTCCAGCATCGAAATTCCTTGCGGATGCCAAAGAAGGGGAGAAATTGACCATGCCGTCAATGGCCTTCTTGATTCAGCATTCCGCATCAAAGTCAAAGATTGTCTTTGACCTGAGCATCCGGAAAGACCTGACCAAATACCACCCGGGCTTGCAAAAGCATCTTGAAACGAGACATCCATTAAGCAGCGAAGACGATGTGAAGTCAGCGTTGGCGCTGGGAAACGTCAACGCCTCACAGATCGACTATGTGATCATGAGCCACGTTCATTGGGACCATGTGGGTACCCCTTCTGATTTCACCTCTGCAACTTTTATTGCCGGCCACAATACGGGCAAGCTTCTCAGAAATGAAATGGGACCGGACCTGGCAAACCCATTTTTTGAGCCCGACCTATTGCCAGCGGATCGCACGATCGAGTTGCCGGCAACACCGAGCTCGAAGACCGGTGAGGTGTTTGACGAGGCTCACGGATGGTATTGGCAGCCCATATCCCCGATTCAAAATGCCATTGACATGTTCAACGATGGCACCGTTTACATCGTGGACAGCCCAGGTCATTTACCGGGTCATTTAAACGCCTTGGTCCGAGTTGCCGTTGACAAATGGGTGTATTTGGCTGCTGATGCTTGTCATCACATGCGGATTTTCAAGGGCGAGACGGATTTTGGCTCCTGGAAGGATGACAAAGGCCGAACAACCACAATCCATAAAGATCTTGAAGCAGCATACAGGACGCTCAACACCATGCGCATGCTTCAAAGAGATGGGCTAAACGGCATCCCGGTCGAGATTGTCCTCGCACATGATGGGGAGTGGCAGGAGAAAAATTCGGACCATTTCTTCCCAAATCATTTGTAACGGAGTGGCGTGGCTGGCTTGTTATAGAACTTCGATGTAGATACTGGAATATGTGGCATCGCTGGATGACATGTTAAACTTCATATGCCATGATCACGCGACTTGGAATCATCAGGCACTGATTCGATGAGGCGGTAGGGCCCCGGTAACAACTTACAACGTTGTCATTGACGCGGGCCTCCGCATGGCAATAACGTGTTCTGCGGTCGTTCGTTACCACGCATGATTGCCGAGATCGAGAGGATTTTTCCTCCCTGTTGATCTAATAGGCGAGGCCGAGATACAAGTGGGATCTGGTGTTGTTGCTTTAAAGCGACCCCTCTCTGTGTATACATGCGAGTCCGCGGCAGGTGAGAAGGAGCTCGCGAGCTTCGGTCTCGTTTCCCCGGATCTGCCCTAGTAAGAACTGTTTTTTCCGTGGGGTGGAATTCTGCTCATCCCATCTCGCTGGATATCATCTCTACACCTGCCAAATGCAGAACGCCCGGCAGGAATTTGCTAGGTCGCAGATTTGGGGTCCGTACCCTCGTACACGAGGGTTCAGCTAGTCCCCACAACATAGGAATGATAATGCAGTTTCCTTGGAGACGTTTGGAGATGGCTGTACCTGCGTTCTCCAGAAGGATCTCCTTGCATGGTTGTGGAGTGTCTGGCGATCCACCGCGGCACTTCTCCTTCGAATAACAGGTCTTGTGTCGACCAATGCCATCGTTCGCATAACGTCTCCAACGGTGCCCGAGCATGGCCGTTGCTGGACGCTCGATTGGAGCAACTCTATGGGTTTCTCTGAGACGAAGAGGATGTACCGAGTACGAGGTAGAAAACTGGTGGATATGTTAAAGTTTGGATCCCGTTGGAATCTAGGCATTCCATTTGTTCAGACTCATTGGGCTCCACCGCGTCCAATGTCTCGGCATCAATTCCGCTCCGCTGATGGGTCGCGAGCTTTTTCTCCCTCCTGCGCGTTGAACGCAACCTCACACTAATAACAAAGAATACAGACGTGCAAAGGCTTCGGCCCGGACTCGCAGGCAATAAATATATAGCAAGATGCCCTCAGTGCAGGGCACGTTGATGCCATTTCTCTACCCTTGCCTTTTCCGGTCCTCTGCGAATTGCCTGCACGCTCAAGCTCGTCGGATTCGTCTTCACACCCGTCCCCGGTTCCGACATATACACCAAACTGGTCGACTCAGTAAACCGTCCGTTGCGGAAAACGATGCGTCTCTCCACGCCTCTACCTTCGAGGCTCCTAAACCACTGACCCCTGCTGCATCGACCCACCTGAACCCTTCCCCGGACGATTACTCCCGCTCGATCTTCGTCGACAAATGCCAAATAACCATCCACGCGGGCTCCGGTGGGAGTGGATGCGTGTCATTCCTACGCGACGCTCACATAGCCGATGGGCCGCCCAACGGCGGCGACGGCGGGTCGGGAGGAAGTGTGTTCATCCAGGCCGTCTCTGGACAAACATCCCTTCATAAACTTGCCAGACGAGGTATCATAAAAGCCGGTCGTGGCATAGGGGGGCAAGGTAAATCCCAAGGTGGACGCAGGGGGGAGGACATCTGCATCCAGGTCCCCGTGGGAACGGTAGTGCGAGAAATATGGCGCAGCGATCCCAGCGCGGAAGAGGAAATTCGCATCAAAGAACTCCGCGCCATGAGTGATGAAACAGACCTCTTCAAGATCCCGGATAACGGTCTAAGAAATAGATTCATTATCTACGCTGGCGCTACAACTGCAGACGACCGTCAACAAATCTCTTCGCATTTGCCCTCTCTCACTTCTCACATGCTGAAACCCAGAAAATCCCATCTCGCCATCCTGCAGCCTCGGGCACCTATCCATTTAGACCTGGATAAGCCCATGGACAAACCCATCCTCCTCGCCGCAGGGGCGGTGGGCGGACTAGGAAACCCACACTTTGCGACGAAATCCGACCCGAAGCCCAAGTTCGCGACGAAGGGTGAATTAGGCGTGCGGATTAGACTCGAGTTGGAGCTCAAGTTGCTGGCGGATGTGGGACTGGTTGGGTTACCTAACGCTGGCAAAAGTACATTCACACGCGCGATATCCAATTCAAGGACGAGGATAGGCGACTGGGCGTTCACCACTCTCGCACCTACCATCGGAACGGTGATCCTGGATAACAACAAAGGGCGTCCATTAGTGCGTTCCGGCGTCCCATCCGGAGACCCGGATAACTCGTCTTCATCTGGAAGCATCATCCCCCGTCAATCCTTTACCGTAGCGGACATTCCTGGACTCATCGAAGACGCGCATTTAGACAAGGGTCTCGGACTCTCTTTCCTCCGACACATTGAGCGGGCAAGGATCTTGGCATTCGTGGTGGATTTGTCTGCTGGAGATGCCGTCACGCAGCTGAAGGCCTTGTGGAAAGAAGTCGGGGAGTACGAGAACCTCAGGGATCGAGAAGTGAGTGAACAGACGGAGCAGAGGCTGATCAATTGGTCGCCCTTCGAAGCCCAATCTGCGCCAGCCACCGGGGACGGACTTTTCAACGGCGAAGGAGAGCAAATGTCAATATTTCCTTCAGGCCCCGCCTCCTCCCGTCCATCATCATCGACACTCGAACCATTGGCTTATCCGCCCATCAGCGCGAAACCCTGGTTCGTCATCGCCACAAAAGCAGACATCTCTCATCCGGTCGCCCCGACGACACTAGAAGCCAATGCCTCGTCAACGCAAGCAAACTTTCTTTCTCTAGCAGCATATATGAAGCAAGTGGAGCACGGACAGGTCGAACATCCTAGCGGGAAACAAAACGGATGGCGGAATCGCGTGGCTGCAATACCCGTTAGCGCTATAAGGGGAGAGGGGATCGATAAGGTGATGAGATATACGGCAGGTGTCTTGGACAGCCTTGTCATTGGGCGGTAGGTTGTGAGCTACCAGACGAGGGATGGACGGAGTGAGATAAAAAGTGGAGGCCCATGAAAGCAGGGTATGTGCTTGAGACTGGAAAAGGGTCGCAAACATAGAAAAGGAGAGAAGGGAGGAGACTCAAAGAAGCTCCGAGGGTTCAACGTACTAGGGTGATAGCGATCTAGTCGCAAAGCATGAGACGCGAAGACAGGGGAGGAAGTTTATACGATCGGGTTTTGCGATATATGGCTCAGGCAGTGCCCCGATTACAAGCACGGGTTCGAAAGAATCAATCGGACGGAGTTCGTACCTATACTTGACCCCTTGAAAATATCAAGGCGGAGAGCATCTCCTTGCTAAAGTTTGGAGATGCAGTGGTATTCAGCTATTCAGCCCTCTAGGCATTAAAGCTGCTCTCTGTGAATATTCTCACGTAGTGTTGACAATCCCACCATTCAGTGATGACGCCATTAAGGTGAGATCTTAGGACAGATACCGTCCCTGCCTCTGTGTGAAGCACCAGCGGACGCACACCATTCCCTCATACGAAACCCGAATGAACAATGAAACCCACGGAAGCGCCGCCAGCTCAATGAGTTGCCGACATACTCCTTCGATATTGGGGAGCATTAAGTTGCAGTAAGCTCTCTCTGCGCAACAGCTCTCTGCCAAATCTGGTTCTTGGGGGAGTCAACCACTAGAAACTCCTACCTGGAGGTCCGAAGCTGTTTGGTTGGCCGACGATGCCGCTCAATGGACTGGTGTGATGGATATGCTGACTATGACCCAGTAAAGGGCTGCCTATCTCACCAACGCTGCCTCTGGGCTGTTGACTCGGAGCATCCTCGACGAATTTGATCACTTGACCTCTGGCTTTGTCAATGATCACCTCAAAGGATCCACCGCCATTTTGTGAATTACCCTCGGTGTCGCAAATCCCGAGCATTTCGTCCATGGAAACTGGAGGTTCACCTGGTCCTTTGAGACTCTCCAGCTGTCTGAGAACATTCTGCACCGGATGATACCCATCGGCACTCGCAACCGGGATTTGCGACAACTGACGGCAAGCTTGGACAAGCATAAGTCTAACTGCAATCGGACGCGGGAGATGGGACCTTGAAATAGCTTGAGGTCCAGAACCGATGGATCCAAAGGGGGGTTGAGCCCAGCCAGGACTGGGACGTTGCGAACCGGGGGGGCCCCAGCTAGGAGTAGGAGCCATGCCAGGATTGAAGCCACCCCAACCAGCGTTCCCCATAGCGAAAGGCTCCTGCTTGTGCTCAGGGAAGCTGCTCGCGAATGGTATCCTCGTAGATCCAGGCGGGCCGACAGGTGGGAGACTCATGCGTGAATCCGAATTTTCCAGGAACGGCGCATCCGAATCGTCCAACAACGCCTTGCTACCAAGCTGTGTAGTCAAGTAATCAACGTCGACGTCCGGAGTATTTTGTGGTTTCTGTTTGTCCGGGGTTGTGCTGGATGGTCGAGCAATGGGCCCTAGTCCAGGTCTTCCTATTGGAGCATGCTCACTGGACGGTTGCCTGGAATGCACTTGAGGTTTGGGCGCTGGCTGTTGATTGACAATAGAAGGCACTTGACCTGGAGCTTGTGGGACAAAGGACATTTGTTGACCCGGTTGGAAAGGTCTTGGAAACCCTGGGGGATACTGCATGCCATTCTGGGCGAATCGCTGCTGGTTACCCATAGGAGGGCCCTGGTACATGTGTATCGGAGGCATCATAGTTGGCATCATTCCTGGCGCACCCATCGGTGGACCACTTACTCCCAGACCAGGCAATCCATTCATATGGAACGGGTATTGCCCTCTGCCGTGGTTGTTTAGAGGCGACCTTGGAGCGGAAGGTTGTGGGTGATGGAGTGGCGGAGGTTGCCCTTGTGCTTTCGCCGCTTGGCCTAAACCTGGTGTCTGAGGCATGGCAACAGTTGCTGGAGAAGCAGAACTTCGGGATGCCTCGGTGCTAGCTTTTTGTGATCTCGGAGACGAGCCATGAGAATGCTGCCCGGGTTGCGAAGGTTGTCGATTCCGTACAGGTGTCGGGACCTTGGGAGGAATGATCGGAGTTGCAACAGAAACGTGTGGAGACTGTATGCTCGGACCGCGCGAAGGAGGCTGTAGCCCTGGGGGGAGAGCCACAGGCTGTTGTTTCGTCGGGTGTTGATGGACTGCACGCTCCTTGGTCTCCTTTTCCACCCTCAGAGCCGCCTCTTTTTCCTTTCGTGCCTGCTCCTCCTTGGCTTTTCTCTCGCGGTCTTCCTTCGCTTTTCGCTCCCTAGCCTCCTTCTCCTTGGCTTCTCGCTCCTCGCGTTCTTTCTTTTTCGTCTCCTCACGTCTCTGCCTTTCTCGCTCCTTCGCTTCGCGTGCCTTGCGTTCTTGTTCGGCTTGTCGTTCTCGCGCTTCCAGCTGTTTCCGGTGCTTCTCGGCTTCCTTGCGTAGTCTTTCTTCCTCGGCAGCCTTCTTCTCAGCTTCGCGCTTCCTTCGCTGCTCTTCGCGACGATGCCGCTGTTCCTCTAACCGCTTTTCTTCCAATTCTCGCGCGGCCGCTTCCTGGGCCGCTTTCTCGGCCTCCTTCTTGGCCTTCTCCTCGTCCTTCGCTTGTTTCTGCAGTCGCTTTTTCTCCTTCCGTTTGGCTGCTTCTCGGGCTTTCTTTGCTTCTCGCTGTGAGTCGAGTCGGCTCTCTTCATCTAATTCCTCGAGCAATTTTCTCTGTCGTTCCGCGGCAACTTTCTCTCGGTATGCTGTCAAGACACGTTGTTCAAACATTCGAGCGGCAAAAATTTGGAACATTCGTCGACCTTCTTCCATGCGTTGTTCTTCGGTCATGGAATCCTAAGGCAACTGTCAGAAGTTTTGCGGAGCACGGAGATTAGCCACCACTGACCATGTCATCGCCCTCGAAATCGTCCTCTTCTTGGGAGTCGTAGTCCTCGTCATCTTCCTCATCGTCATAATCATCATCGTCGTCTATGGGAGGATGATTGTGACCTTGATGGACATCTCGATGAGCTAATGACGAGGAATGGTAGCGAATATCTTCCTCACGTTGCATGCGTCTCTCCGCCAGTTGCTCCATCATGTCTATGAAATGTTTTCCATCGTTCTTCAGCAAGTCGTCCGCAACGGTCAGGATGCCATCTGTATACAACCTGTTAGCTCATCAAACCACTTCAGAAGAACATTTTGTCCAGACCCTTCACAGTAAGACTATTGCCGAATTGGAAAAAATCGGGTGGCCCAGGTGGCAGCCCATGATCGTCAAGCTCTCCTTCATCGTCACTATAACCTTCGTCGTCCTCATCATCGTACTCGTCGTCGTCCTCGAGATCTTCTTCGTCGTCTTCGATCTCGTTAACTCGACTGCGCGAAGGGTACGAACCAGCCATGGGATGTGTCGCTCGTTTGAATGGAGGCCGGGGCGGGGCCATCATCTGAGGGACGTTGGAGAGATCCGTGTTGTGGTTGGCAAACTGCTCAAGTTCCTCGTAGTAAGCGTCGTAAAGCACCTCCAACTCTTCTTCGATGGCGGTACGTTTTCGTCCACACACGGAGCAGCTGCAGGAATGCTTCTGCTGTTCCTTCATTTTGCGCAAGACAGCCTCCTTCTCGACCTTGACCAATGATCTTCGCTCATCTTCGCCCAACTCCAGCCAAAACTGCTTGATATTCTCCCGCTCGGCCTGGGTTGAAGTGTTCCAGATATGGTCGCTCGAAAGTTTCTGGGAGGCTCGCATCGCAGCATTCGATAAAGGCGGGATGTTGGTGCGGGACAGCATTGTTGAAGTTCTCGACAAGGCGTCGGTGGTAGGTTTGGATTTCTTCCGTTTGGTGGTATTCAGCCAGGAACTGTCGTGCATTGCATCTGTACCTTCTCCATAGTTGGGATCTTCGTCGCCGCTATAAAAAGCTTCTTCAGGGCTTCCAATATCGGGGTAGGCAGGGTCTGCGGGATCGGGATAGTCAGGCTCTTCGGTGAAATAACCCTTTACCGGTCCCCGGCCTTGTTTAACTGGCGGGAGCTGTCCGTTTGGTTTGGGTTGTGTTGCAGAAACATGGCCATTTGGCATCGGCATGTCCGCCTTCTCCGCCGCCCGTTTTGCAGCCTCTTTTTCCCGTCTCTTTTGCTTCTTGCGATTGACCGCCGGGGTATGAGCAGGCTCTCCGGCCGATTCAGTGGTATCACCCGTCTTCAGATCTGCGTCTGGCTTTGCATGCGAAGGCTGACTGTTTAGCGAGGGTGTGGAGGACATGGCCGGCCCCGAGTTTTGCAGGGGTTGAGGTTGTGCAGGCGCATCTTTTGCAGAAGTGTTGGAGGGCAACGGCTGTGGTTTGGCAGCATTAACCTGAGTGTTGGCTTTCTTTTTGGAAGGCATAGCGCCAGACCGTCACTAAAGAACCGTTAAGTTCGATATCGATCTTGGTCTCGCTAGGTTCACATCAAAGGCACGGCGGTTTCGGTTGCTGGTGGGGTATCACGAATTGGTAGGTGACGAGCACAGGAGACGCAGTATGGCAAACAAACAAAGAGGGCGAGAGAAGGGAGAATCCAACGAGCCGAAGGTGTTGAAAGGGAGAAAGCGAGGGTATGGTAGGAGGATGGTGGCTCTCGTTTGGTTGAACTGTAGGAAGTTGAGTTGTTCGACGTTCAAAGTCCCAAATCCAGTCCCAGTCTGGGCCAACTTCGGTTTCGTGGGGCGGCGACGTCCAGTTGAGGCTGTGACTGCGTTTGAAGGGCCAGTGCCTCCCTGGTGTGCCTCCCTGGTGCCCCCAAGGAAGTTGCGGTAGAGCAAAGGGGCCTTGAGGGCACCTGGGCACCTTCACTGCCCACCAGAGGAGAGTTCAATAATTGCCCCGTCACCACCACCAGCATCATGGTGCTCCAATTATATGCCTTCTCCTTGCATTTATTACACCTACCCAGGTATTCACACGCACACAGCACAGCGACATTGAGAGGGCACATATTCACCCCAATCTCAGGCCTTGGATAACTCACATCTACCATTGCATCATCATCATCATCTACTTACCGATCTGACCGGAAGAACTGCTCCTTATCGCGAGATCCAGACCCCTGGTCCCCAAGAGATCTATTTGTGGCTGCGCCTCAACCACCCTCTCCTCTCCCAGGCGCCGTGCCGCTTGAGGTGGATTTGTTCTCCGTTGGACCCCACGAACTCCCAGTGGACTAGTCTCAGTTATTCAGAAACAAGATAGCCTGCTCTTTCTCCCTCAGCTACAATACAAAAGATCGTTGCAGTCGACTGAAACTGCGGCTGGCGGTGCCGGTCGCTGGTGGAGGTGAACGTACCCCGTTTGTGGATTGGTCTTGACTGGCTTCGCTGGCTTTGCTGTATGCGACCTCAGTTGCGTCCAGTTACACCAGGCCGCTCCTCCACTCCCCTTTGACTTCATTTCAGCTCGTCCTCAAACTTATCCACCGCACAACAACGACTTAAGATCCTTTGAGCTCTCCTTCTGCTTCCTCATTCCTCCACTCTGCAAGAGCTGCTCGCCATCTTCCTCGAAAGCCGCCGCGGTTCTTGAAGCTCTCCCCCGGACCACCGACTCCGTAGTGGTGTGATCTGCCTGCCCGTGGGACAGAGTCCGCAACAGCTTCTACCGCCATGGCACAAAATCAGGCACAACAGAATGTGATGAGAAGGTATGTTGACTCTCACCACTTCACCGCCCTCGTGGTGGAAACAGTTGCCCGTCGAACTCAGCAATTCCCCTGCAAGGCTGCCTAAGTCACACGTTCCGCAAGACCTCCAGGACAATCACTAATGTCGCCTTCCGCAGGAAGCTTGTTATAATAGGTGATGGTGCCTGCGGAAAGACGTCACTGCTATCAGTTTTTACACTCGGCTATTTCCCGACTCACTACGTCCCAACCGTTTTCGAAAACTACGTTACAGATTGTCGAGTCGATGGCAGGTCAGTACAACTGGCTTTGTGGGACACAGCAGGGCAAGAAGACTATGAAAGATTGAGGCCCCTCGCATATGCAAAGTCACATGTCATTCTCATTGGCTTCAGCGTCGACAGCCCTGACAGCTTGGAGAACGTGCGGCACAAGTGGATTGAGGAAGCTCGCGAGCGATGTCCAGAAGTGCCTGTCATCCTGGTCGGCCTGAAGAAGGATCTGAGAGAAGACCCGATGGCGATCGAAGAGATGCGGAAGAGGAGCCAAAAGTTTGTTACGCCTCGAGAAGGCGCCGAGATGGCCCAGGCTTGCGGTGCTCGCAAATACCTTGAATGTTCAAGCTTGACGGGCGAAGGTGTGGATGATGTCTTCGAGGCTGCCACAAGAGCTGCTCTTCTGACGTTCAATGGTAAGCAAGGCGGAGGCGGATGCTGTGTCATTCTGTGATTCACAATGGGCCATGTCGAACTTGGACGAACACGTGCTGGATTTGAAAGCACGACAGGTGGCCGTTTCCTTTGATTCAGCTCCAATTGGGGTATCTCTCACGCACAGATCCGATATCGATACACAAAATTGCGAAAAGGAGAGCATGTACCTTTTCATCTTGGGGAAATGAAGTCCGGATTGGCATCCTCTCTGGCGACGGATCGAATCGCACCGGGCTTGGGTTTGAGCCTGTGCGACACGAGGCGAACGAATTTTTCATATTCGATTTAGCGAATTGACATCAATGATGGACCTTCTACTAATCTCTCGTCTTTTCGACTCAGGTTTCGTGGTCGAAAAGGCCGGCTACTGGCGAGAAAGATAAAAGTTTCCAAAAAATCTTCCTCATTGTATATATACATGTTGATTCTTTCCGCTTGCTCTCTCTGGGAGAATAGGGCTGCTATTACGAAAGCCCAAGCTTGACCAGGATTTACCAGTCCAGATGCTGCCATTGTACCCCATGCAGCGTGTGTCCCATTTGATTTTACACCTCTATGCTGTGAGAGGCTCGCCCAGAAAGGCCACCTTTTCCATTCTCCCCCCGCTTTAATATCTTCGTTGTCGAGTAAAGCATGCCTTCTGCAGTCAATATCTCTTTACTGAATACCATCGCCAACCCTATTCGTCGCTGGCTGGCATCGTGATACAAGTTCGATTCGCCAGTTTCGCCCATATCACCTTTCATCCCATGCCGCTGCTTTTTAACCCTTTCCTCTTCACCTCTTTCGCAATGCCGGCCAGAGATCTCATCACACCAACGCGAGATCAATGTCTTTTCCACGCATAGTCCCATATTTTGGCTTTGCTCGCGCTTCCTTCGGCGGCAGCTGCGCCTTCTGGCCCTCCAACGCCCAGCCCGCCGGTGCTTCCCACCCACTCCACCAGACCTCTCGCGTACTCGATGGGGACACCTCCCTTCGCCCTGCCTCCTGATCCAGGAGCACCACCCACGCCTGAACCGCCGATGCCCCAGATGCCGGTCTTCATCTGGGCTTTCCTGAACAGGCGGCCCCCGTCGCCGACCCCGACGCGGAGTTCTTCATTCGCATCGCGCATGGCGTTGTATTGGCGCTCCAACTCGAGCTCGCGGGACTTCTTGAGATTGTGCCGGTACAGGTTCCATGCGCGGGTGATCGTCCAGTGCCGTAGGTATCTGTTGCGCGAGAAGCGGAGCGGCCGCGGCGTGAGGGTTGTGGGATGGTACAGGAAGTAGCGGATTAAGGCTGCAATATGTGTTAGGACCCGAGGAAAAGTGAGGGAAGGAGGAAAAACGGTCGCTTGAGCAGCATCGATTGCCACAATGTATTAGAAGCGGATGGTGTCACGCGAAAAGGAGAAAGTATGAGAAGAGGGATAAAGGGGAAAGATGTGGAAGATGGCGAAAAGGAACGCATTGAACAAGAGACTCACTTATTCGTCTATCAGGTCTGCCACCCCCTTTCTTTTTCGCATAGTGAACGGCACTCGTCGAGAATGACAAACTCGAGTTTGTGGTCCCTTTCGTCCCCGTATTGGTGCTCGAAGAAAGAGAAGTCGAAATCACTCTGCGGAGCGACGGTCGAGATGCGATCTGGAAGACGTGTGCCAGCGCGGCACGGATCGACGAAGTGTGCATCTTCCAACCTCAGCTACTGCACGACTTTGTCATGGGATGGGAAGAATGGGTTTCACAGGAATCACTTGATATGGAAAAACGAAGGTTGCCCAAATCTCAAGCTTGACCCTCAATTGAAACCTCAGGCTTTGGTTTTGGCGCAAACTTTCGTCACGCAAGGCTGAAGCTTGGCACGTTTGCAGTTCCCAGCCTCGCATGTTGCATGGTCACTCCGCATCTACTCGGTACATGATGGCTGCATGGCATCTTTTCCCCTTCGTTTCATTTCTAAAGAGCGAGACCCGAAGCAATAGAGTTACTAGGTCCGATAGGACCCCATTAGTCCTAGATGGCCCTTCCAGCAGGCAACCATGCTTGCTCTCTATTATTGAGCAAAACCTTACCTCCCCATTTGCTGCCCACTATATCATAATCTCAGCCCAATCCATCAATTCATATTCAGTAACAGCTCTCAGGAACCCTTATACCGAATACATTTTTGTTCGTTTGTCAAAATTCATAATGCGCCTTTGCCGATGTCCCTGGGCCAGCCTCCATCTGCAGTAAAGCAACAAAGCATCTTTGAGCACCACGAAAAGGCATCCACCTACCACGCTTCTTCCCCATTTCGTCGAAAGCAGTCCGGGCCGACCATTTGTGTAATTGCGGTAAGTCAGCCACGATGATGGCAAAACGCAGCTGATGAGATTGCCCATTCCCGCAGCCACCGCAGGGAACACTAACGCTCCAAGGACGGTCTGTCCGATACTCCCACTGCCGTCAACGAGGTCGTGGCGGCCTAATATCCGATGGACGTGTTGGTTCTCTGGATGGCCCTGTGCATTTCCCCCATTCCCGGCAAGGCCTGCCTGCTCTTCGCCTCTGTCTTCATCCTCTCCTTCGCCGTTAAGATTGACGTCAATTTGAAGAACAAGTTCTCCATCCTCAACCCTCTCTTGCGCCTCGTCTTCATTTTCGTTGCCATCATTTTCCACTTGCGCCTCTCCTCGTTGAGAATGTCTGGGTTGCACTTCCGCCAGCCACTTGAGGTTGAGATCATGGAATGTCCAACGGTAGACTCTGTTGTAGATCGATCTCATGGCAGGTAAACAAGCAAATACCGTGCTTGGCAGAGGTGGCCAGACGGTCATGTCAATGTCAAATTTGTCGGTGATCTGTGTAGAAAGAAGGATCAAACTGCTGCCGGGGAGGGCAAAATCGGCATAGTCAGTGCGAGCGAGAATTAGATTGACCGGGATCAGGCTGTACATCCAAGCAAACTCTGGCCGTCGTACAGCGTATCTGAAAACTCGATCCGCATCCTCGTGGCCAAACACCAAATAGACAGATTGAAATCCGTGGAACCATGCTCCCGCCCACAATGTGCCCACAAAAGACAAACCCAATCCCGGCAGGACTAACTTTCCAAGCGTGCGGTCAAGTGCGCGATAGCTGTCTACCACATAGCTTCTTGGTCTTGATATTCTGATTTCAGATTTGCATTGAGGGCATAGAATGTGTCCAGAGCTCTTGTTCTTGTTCTTAGGATTCTCGAGATCCGCCACCCAGTCCAACAAGCACGCCTCATGGGCAGTCAAACTGCAAGAGCACGGCGAGCACCATACTGGGGGGTTGTTAGGATCGTCTTCACTTTTGTCGCTCATACATATCCAACATTTGGGTCCAAAGGTCGAGACGCGTGAAGGGGCCGGCGGTCTTGAATTAGAGTCATTCGTTGAATGCGCGGCATCGTTACCCGACTGGGCTGGATCCCGGGATGGTTGATCGAGCGCGATGGGATCAGAGCGTTCTGAATCCATCACCAAGGCTGATTGCGGGGGCAGCAGGTTGAGGTTCAATGAAGGAGGTCAAAGTAAAGGGAGGCGAGTGCCAGCCCTTGGAGAAGAACAAGATGCCAGCGTTTATTTATCATGCGTCGCCTCCAGAGTGTCGAGTAGTAGCAGTAATATACACAGCAGAAGTAGACTTGAGTTCCAGTTAGGCAACAGATCGTGTGTCTCAATTGTGGTTTGATTTACCGAGTAGAGTGGCAGGCTCGGTTCAACACCAAACCCGCCGCGCACGATGCTGCAGATACGTAATTTGTTGCCATTATTTCTGTGTCATCCCAGTAACTGCTTTTAGCTAGCATATCATAGTCCAATTAAAACAGCAAGAAGTCGCCCAGTCTTGGCACTCCGCGTCGCTTCGATCGCAGGTCCCGGTACATCTATTTTTATCTATTCAGCTTTCTTTGGCATTTCAAGGAGATCTGAGCCCAATCACCGGTATGCTGGGCTGAGGTCATTTAGGAATCGCTGGAGTTCTTCGTCCTCTGATAGTTAAGTACCATCTCCTCAAACCAGACCGACCCTTGAGATGTAAGGGGTTCTTCGTACAAAAACTCCTGGAGAATCACTTTCAGATCCTTCCAAGTGAAAACCTGCATTGACCAAGCCATCTCGGCCAACTTTCTGTTAAATCGTTCCTGGTTTGTTCGTGCCTGGTCAGAGGGGGGCCCGCGCTCTACTAGTGCGGCGATGTACAATGCCCACATCCTTGCGTTCAGATACTTATTCCCTCCACCTCGCGCTGAAAAAATCTCACACTGGTCTAAGGCGTACCCTAGCGCGTTCAAAGGTCGGCAGTTGTCATAAATGGGTACACCCATGATTCGCGGATTGTAATTTTTCCATCTTAGGAGCTGCGCCGATGCCAGTGCGAGGGCTTCGTGAGCATAAAGGTAGGCTTTGACCATATCAGTCAGGCCCTCACGTTTGAGCTGCTCCTCGCTGTCCAGATAGTAATTAATCATCCGGCTGTGGAAAAGAAACGCGAGTGACATAACAGAGGTCTGCACCAGCGGCAGAAGTGGAAGTCTCTCACTTTCAGTATTCTGGATCTTTTCGTACTTGAGCGTCAGCCGACTTTTTTTGAACCAGTACGAGACGGTCTTGTCTTCTATAGCAGGGTCCAGTTCTTCTTCGGCGTATATGGGCATATATGGAGCGGCCACGTCCCAAAGAGGCTTCAACACTGTAGGCAACCACTCGCCCTCATCAAATATCGGACGGCTAAGGAATCTAGAGGCAAATTGTAGATCGTTGTGGAGTTGGTACAACAACATCTTGTAATCCAGTCTTTGTTGTTCCCATTGCTGTCTGAAAACATGGAGCAGCATTTTGCCGTGCACAGTTGCTCCGGCAAGATTGCCATTGATAATTTCGGCATTGAACAACATGTTCATGTGTAGACAGCCACCAGTATTTTGCAAGTCCTCATTGCGCGAAACTTTATCTCGAAGTGTTCGAGTGCTTTGGCACAAGTATTTTAGGGCCACGGGCCACATGCCAGGGTTCGCTCGAGCGACGATCGAGCCATAGCGAGCCAAAGTGCCGAGCGCCGTCCCTCTCTCTTCAAGCGTAGCCACATTGTCTCGCCAATCTCGCATGGCAAGTTGATTGAGGTTCTTGTCGCCAATTTTGAAGTGGTACACCACTGGGAGAATGTAGTCGCGGTACAAAGATATAAGATTGTTCTCTCCGGGGCCAATAGCAATGGAGTAGACATGAAACGGGTCCGAATTTCCCCTACCAACGAGCGAGAGAGGGGAAGTGGCTATGGCAACAGGACCGGGTGTCGTAAATTGTGTCTGCATTGAGGGGGTCTGCTGGTGAACCTCGTCTGTTTTGGGACGGAGTCTTCTATGCCTCCATTCATAACTGATCTTCTGGGAAGACGAAGCTCGGAGAGCCCTAAAATTCTCTCGGCGCTTCCAGGCTCGATAATTTGTTTGAACGTGCGAGTATATTCGATGCCTGTGCGGCGAGGCTTGCATATTTTCTGCATCATGGTGGACCCAAAGGAACTGGTTGGTAAAAGGCGCGGCGATGTGGGAAGTCATAGTCCCAGTGCTCTCCATAGAGCTCCGAAAACAAGAACAAGAACGATGGATTCAAGACCATGGACTCGTAAAGGATCTGGATCCCCGAGGCTGGAGGCGTTCTTCTTCATTTATTTCATGGCAAGGGGGTCGCCTGACTATACCTAGGTAAAGGAGGCCCCGTTTTCCGCAGTCCCAGCAAAGCGCGGATTGGTCTTTGGCCATGCACGCTTACAAACAAGTAATTTCGTCGTGTCTTGATAGCACCTGTCTCGGGTTACTTAGCGTATTTCCAGCCCTGTGTTATATTGGCGGAATAGGGTAGTGAAACCAGGCAGGGTTCAATGGACAGAAAGTACGAGCCAGACATCATGAGCTAGAGGACAGCAGATGCGCACTTGGTGGTCTGCTGTCAGAACTGATGTGGATGGTTAAAAGGCTGACAAAGGAGGTTTGGCGGGTCGTGCGCGACCGTAGCTACTGTAGGGTAAATACCTAGGTGCCTAGCAAGTTAGGAGTCGTGTATCGCTATTACATAGAGCCATCGATTTGGAGGGTTTGTCCGCATGACCACAATTAGTACCTAGTGTATAGACGCGACCAGTTTGAGCAGTCCGAGGAGGTCACCGTTCGCGACAACTGCTTTGAACAAGTTTCGGCAGTGACATTTTTCCGTTCCGGCTGCGTCATCGCGACTCGATTGATTTCCCCTCCAACAGTCCGAACTGAAAACACTGCATCTCAAGAACAGGGAAGTCGGCCTCAGGATTGTATCCATTCTCTGAGTTATCTTCTTTCTCTTGCATATGTGGCCCTCTCCAGCCAGTTCGACATCCAGCAAACAACAATCCGACCAGCACAAGAGTGCTCTGGTTCATTTCAAAGTGTTGGGCAAACAAAGCCGTTGGAAAATCTAGCAGTTGAATTGTGTTTTCGACATGGCAACCCTTGTGCCAAAAATCGACAGCCTAGACCATGTGTATGCAGGAGCATCCGAGAATCGTGCTGTGCCTTTCGAGCTCGAGCAACGTTTCAAGAATTTGATCCAAACGTTCAAAAGCGACTATGGTCACAAGCCAGACTTCGTGTCCAGAAGCCCCGGACGAGTCAATATAATTGGCGAACACGTCGATTATTCGCTCTACAATGTTTTGCCGGCTGCTCTTATCGTTGATGTGCTGATCGCAGTCCGCATTGTCCCCCGTGGAAATGGCGATGCAGCTGAGATCAAGATTGCCAATATCAATCCCACAAAGTATCCTTCGAAAAATTTGACAATTCCGAATTCCGGAACCGTCAAAGTCGACCGCGAGAATCATTCATGGAGTAACTACTTCATGGCGGGATTGAAAGGGTCGCTGGAATATCTCCAACAGCAGTTCGGTGACTCTTTCAAGCCCAATGGCATGGAAGTCCTAATCGACGGGAATGTTCCGGCGGGTGGCGGCCTGTCTAGCAGTGCAGCCTTTGTCTGTGCTTCTGCTTTGGGTGTTATGGCAGCAAATAACCACGACATTTCAAAACAGAATCTGCTTGACCTCTGCATTGTGTCGGAACGTGCTGTCGGTGTCTTCTCAGGGGGTATGGATCAAGCTGCGTCCATCTTCTCTGAGAGGGGTTATCTTCTGTACTGCCGCTTCTTCCCAGAATTCTCTGCAGAACATGTCCCTATGCCCACGTCGGACCCAGAGGTCACATTCCTGATTGCACAATCTTTCGTTACTTCCGACAAGGCGGTGACAGCACCGCTTCATTACAACCTCAGGGTGGTTGAGTGTACCCTGGCGACTTTGGTGTTGGCAAAACTCCATGACATTGCTCTGAATCCAGATCACAGCTCGCTTGGATTTTGCCTGCGCAACTTTCAAGAAGAACTCATGAAGAAGGAAGGCCGTACAGATGAGCCTCTAACGGTACAGGTCGACTCCATGATCGAGATCATAAAATCAAAGCTTAAGGAGGAGGGCTACACCAGACAAGATATTGCAGAGATTCTGGGAATTTCTGTCCAAGAGCTGGAAAAGCAGTATATGTCGAAGTTTCCCATTCGGGCGGATCTGTTCAAACTGAGGCAACGAGCGTTGCATGTCCTGGAAGAGGCCGAGCGTGTCCTCAAGTTCCGAGACACTTTAACGACGACGGGGAAATTGGATAAAGGGAAGTTGCTCTATCTCGGTGATCTCATGAACAAGACTCAAGCTTCATGCAGAGATGTGTACGAATGTTCATGTCCTGAGATTGATCAGATCTGCTCTATTGCACACAGAGCTGGGGCGTATGGAACTCGACTTACCGGTGCCGGCTGGGGCGGTTGCACAGTGCATCTGGTGCCTCAGCATAAGATTCCTGCTGTTACTGAAGCGCTTAAGCAAGAATACTATTATAAAAAGTTCCCAGAGATCAGCAAAGAGGAACTTGAGGAAGCCATTGTCATCTCCAAACCCAGTCAAGGGTCGTCGCTGATTGTCGGTGCAGCCCTTGATATATGATGGGAGCAGACGTTACATAGGCCACGAATCATCTAAACTGGCTTCATGGGGACAAAGGATTCAACATGCAGGGCCCCATTCTCTTGGGACGCTGCTTACCACTATGTGCATCTAGAGACCGGCATTTCTGCGCCCGCACCTATTCAATATGTGTGCCAGCCAATGTTGCAAATTTGGACTTCGCTTGGCTGTTGTCAAACTGCCCATGATACTTTTTCCAGCCTGGACAAACCTGACTGCATGACCAGCAAACACCAAGCAAGAGCAATCTGCTCTCTTGCTTCCTTCTCTTTATCACCCTCGAATGTCAGAGAGCGACCCTTCTTCCGCTCTCTCCCAGTTGGTGTCAAGCCTTGAATACGGTTTCTCCTATCTTGAACGTTGACTGAATCCCTCGTCCTGGACGCCCTGGACGCCCTGGACGTGGTCATCGGCTTCACCTGGACTCTTTCCTTCAAGACCCTTGGTTGATCTCTTTCCTCTGCGAGCCCCGAGCTCTCTACCTACTCCCTCCACACCTCTTCCAGGCATCACAGTCCTCAATACACAAGCCAAGCAGCAGCCCCTCATGTCGTTCATGTCCCAGGGTCCACGAGCACGCTTCGATTCTTACGGCTCCTCAAGCTCTCCTGAGCACGACCACTACTACACACACCGTTAACCCGCTTGTTCGGGACCATGGAGCACCCTCCCTGACCGACTAAAACGCTCATATTACATGGAACAAGTCAGGAGACGTGAATTACAGACGGCAGATATTTTGAGACAAGCTTGCCGGTACCAAACTCCCCTTTGCCAGAAAATCTACCTTTCCGTCCTTCCGAAGCAGATCCTCCACCGAATCATCAAGCACCTCTACCAGGAAGAGACTGAAGTCCGTGGTGATGTCACTGATACCGATTCCGCTTCAGATGGTTCCGTCGCCGAGGCCAACAAGACCGCTTTCATGGCAACCTGTGGGAAATCCTACTACATTGCAAGGCCGACACTCTATCGAGAGGTGAGGTTTATATTCAGGACGCCCGAAGCCGTTCATACCTTCATGGTGGTGAAGACGCCGGCCGACAAAGAAAGATTGGACTTCGTCAGGAGCGTTGAAAATGGTCCGCTGGTTCTATCGGCATGTGAGGGAAAGTTGGATTCTTTTGGGAATCTGAAGGCCGGGGGCTTCTTCCTGGATGACAACTTTGCGTCTGGCTACGAGGCGGATGTCGAGGACAACGAGGACAGCCATGATGAAGAATGAGGGACAGAACAGTCCACGGACTTCGGTGTCGATGCAATCGTTGATGACTGCTGCGATGGGGATGACGACTGCCTTTTTGTCACATGTTTAAATAGCAAATTCTTCCCAGCCGCACACCGATGGCATGTTGCGACAAACACAACGCACACTTTCTTTTGCAGACTCAGTCCTAAAATGCTATGCTTTACTCAATCTGTAGGCCGCTGTTGACTAATTCAAACTCGTGAAACGGACAGGAGCCACAATGTGATGAGAACCCTGGCTACTGTTGCATTGTGTGCGCGCCGATGCATCTAAGCTATCGCCAGCGCCTGCAGAGTTTATAAGGGGGCGGTCGTCCATCACCCCTTAGCCCTCTGCTCAGGAGGTGTCGAGGCCATCTTACAGGTCTTTCATTTGACCACCTTGTGTGACGTTCTTTTCTCTGTGCATGTATTTGGTTGTGAACAGCGAGCCTCTCTGGACGTTTTGCACGTAAACTTCAATCGGACGCGTGGCACACTCATAATATTGAAGGGTTGTTCTCATCAATGACGGACAGAGGCTTTCAGGTAATGTTGCAACTTGATTCATGCTCTGAGACCTCTAGATGTCAATTTCAACCTCCACTAGGCCTAGTGTCGTATCTCGAAAAGAAAGAAGGCGAAAGAGGAACGCCGCAATGGGAGGTTTTTGGCTGTAATAATAGCTCAATCAATGATTAGCTGGGTAGCTATCTGTTTGTTGCGTAGAGAAGACTAAATAGTCATCGGCATACCTTCCCATTTAACACCCATATGTGTCACCCGGTGCCTTTCCCATCTCTTTTCAAAAATATAAATCACTCCCCCCATTAGCGAATTACTTTTGGATCATACGCAGCACTCACCTGGATTCATCTGGGATACCTGAACCGATTAAGGCTCCGGAGTTGATACTCCTTGCAACTCGCTGTCCATAGCTAACACGTGACTTATTCAAGATTCCCTTGGGTGGCCTGTCTGAAGCGAATTGCATGCCGTTTTGAAGTTCGGCCACATCTACTGCAGACTTGCCAGCCTGTCGGCCCATCTTCGTCGTACAGTCACAGCTAACTTCATCCTAACTTTCTCTTCATCAACATGCCTCTACCATGTTCACCTCAATGTCCTGTCGTCGAACGCCATCGACAGTTGCGAAGCCCCGTCCTCAGAGTCAGCGGCTCTCACTCATGAACTGCCGTAGCGACGCTCACGTCCTTTCTGAATCGTGCCTAGCCCGACCGAAATGATGCCTCACTCACACAATGATTATACTGTCGCGTTTACTTGTCCCGTGGGGTTGGAACTGGCGCCAGTCAACGCGTTACTCGACGAGATTCACCGAATCTGCCTACGCGGCACGACTGGAACAGCTATGTCTTGGGAGCAATAGAAGGGCAATATCGAGATCGCTGTTCTCGGTGAAATCGGAAACAGTACGGCCGCTGTGACGGCGATGCCACTCTTCAATGACTTTTCATCGATGCGATTTGGACTGCTCGTGGCAAATGGCGGTTGTATTCTGGATCTCCCAAATGTCTAATCGGTTCGACTGGCTGACATCGTAATCAGCAAGCCACCCGCCGTGTTGCGAGCTGCTGTGCAATGGCTGATGGCAAACCATAAGTCGTCAGGTTGCAAAGTGCTCGTCTACATGTCGCAGATGCTGGAGAATTTCCCTCAAATGAGGGACGAATATAAGAGAACGATTAGCTGTTCGGGACAGCACGGTGGCTAGGATTGTGTCTATTCCGACTCTTCACATGTCATAAAGCGGCCGCTACATTCCTGCACTGGCCCTCTCATTCGCTATGGTGCGATGCTTCGGCTGATTGCGTACTTCAGAACTCGGCCGAACGAGACATGTTGGGAAGCACCAATTTGGACATTATTTGTCTGATGGACCCATTTCTATGGTTGGTCATTTGAGGTATTTGTGATTCTGCCGATTCACACAAGAACAAACAGTGGCAGCGGGAAGCCGCAGCATGAAAGGAATGCTTTCGGTGATACTACCCCGGATGTGGACAGCGCACCTATGCGTCGGGGTCGGCGGAAGTTCGTGAGTTGACCTACCTATTGATTTGTGGAGACGCTCCAAGATGTGATAAGCTTTACGAGCATATCACTGTAGATAGGATTGCTTCTCTATCCCGCCGTTCCCTATGGGTTTTCTTTTGTTGTCGCCTGTTCTGTTCACAACTGACTAGCATCTAGAATACTAAGCAGCGGTGTATCTTGCTCACTGGGCTATTACCCGTCCTGCTAACATATTTACTGGTCGAGAGCAGAATTTGTCCAAGCAGGAAGTCGTCGTCCGTGATGCCATAAAGCGTTCAATTCGTCAGAGTCTGTGTCGGATCGTGATCTCGGGCATTGACAGCCGGGCAAAAGTGAGCTCTGCCTCGAGCTCGCTCAGCGCCTACGATAAATGTGAGTTCAATATTGTTTATCATTATCACTGGAAGGTTCGGCACTAACTGACCCAGGTTCAAGGGATTGTTTTGGGTCGACGTCAGCACCCCATCCTGGGCCGAGATCGGGTTCTTAAAATCGCCAACTAAGTGTCCATCTCAGTCCACCCATGGAGAGATGCCCGCTAAGGTCTGACCGACTTAAAAGAGCCGTGGCTATTGGTGTTGGACAACGCCGACAATGTTAATGATGGATACTAAGAATACTTTCCCACAGGACCGTTTGGTGTTGTGTTGTTGACATCGCGGAATGCTGAATGCCGACAGTACGCTACTGATAAGTGAATCGAATTGAAAGGATTAAGAAAAACAGAAGCTCGAGAATTACTAGTACGGGTCGCTCATACATCCAGCGAGCGATATCAGATACTAGGAGCCGATGCCTAAGCGGAAGCTTCTCTTCTCCGATCACATCCTCTCGCTCTCACTCACATCCGCGTCTTGAGGTCACTGTACGTTGAAAGATTTCCCGAAAGTGTATCAACGGTAACGTAGGCGATTGATGACATTTCGATTGTCCTAGGCGCGGTCGAGGTATGGTGGGGACGTCTACGACAATTTTTAAGGCGTCTGCTCAAATTCTCCAGTTGACAAACACTGAGTCGGCTGCTAATGCTTTACAGTTGTTGGGAGTCTTGGCCGCGCTGGAATCCACTCGACTGCCACTGCTGTTATTCAAAGCTGGACGGAAAAGAGCTCAATGGGTATCGTTAGACGATGGTGATAATGAATTTCTGACTTACCTAACGCTGTGGTATGCTCTCATCTACTGCCACTTATTTCAGCTAATAGCTGTAATTAGGACTCGTTCCAGCTTATTGAGGCTGCTAGTCTTCTCAAGGCCATCTCTGTCGTCACGACCGATACTTCTGACGATGGAAGGATGAATGTGACCATGCATCCGTTAATCCATATATGGGCAAATGATCGGCTCGACGCGGCAGCACAGCACGAATCGTGGGTACGGGCGGGGTGCTTATTGGCGATCTCCCGTTTGGACAGAGTTTTATGGCCACAGCATCAATGGCAACTCCAACCTAATTGGCATACGCTGGTATCGTGGGAGACCGGCCGAATGTTTTTGTCTGCGCCTTCTATAATGATTGTTCGTATTGTCATGAATTATGGGTAGCAGATATTTCGGACGCGGGATGATGGCCAGCTATTTGACCTCATGAATCGGCCACTAACTCACCTTGGCATGGACCCGATGACTTTGGAGCGACAATGGACGGAAATATATGATCTCTTTAGGCGGAATCTCCTCAACTACCGTAGGGTCAAGGAGGCTGTGTTATTGTTAGAGCAGGTGGCTAAGATACACGAAGACTCGCTGGCGGAGGATCGTACAGATCGACCCACGTCGCAAAAGGCACCACCGATTGCATATGAGGCAGATGGACAAAGTCAAACCGGCACTATCACTAATGGAGAACACGTGGTTAAGATCGAAGAGCAGACACTGGCGGAGGATCATCCATCTCGACTCACGTGTCAGCAAGTACGTTCTACGATTTACTGGGACCTTGTCAATTATCAGGCTGCAATATAAATGGCACGTCACGATGAGATTCGACGGCGCACCCTCGATGAACATCACCCGGATCGGAAGGAGGTTGAGGGGTGGCATGACTCTTTCGAATCTAACGTGGGTCGTCTCGAGACTATATAAATCGATAACGGAAAAGGATGGATGGATACGAGTTCCAATGGAAAATCTTGGTGTACGTGGTAGCAGAAGGGGTGGGTACATGATAGAAACGGAGTGGAGTCTAGGAAGCGCAAGCCCCTTTTTTAGATTAACTGTAAGACGAGCTCCTTATTCCTTCGAAGCTTCTCCTCGCCGTACACGGTACAACCAATTCTGGGCCTCTTCTGTGCCAAACCTCGAGCTTGAAAAGTTTTCGGGGCTGGTAGCCAAATAACACGATAAGCCTAGCTATCGCTCCAGATGCTCCCAAGTCCCAGGTCTCAAGCCCCAAGGTGGCAAGGAGCTCGCCAGCCTCGGCCTAGGAGATCATAAGCTGACAATCTTGCGAACCGAATCCTAGCCCTTTAGAGTCTATGCAAGTCGTGGCGCTGAGTCGACCTGCTTACATATAAGTCTCTCAGCTCTCGATGGAGCCGTGGGATTGTGGTATCACTCTTACAACGTTCCTTCCACTACCTCTCTGGAATGATAAGTAATCAGCCGCCTCCCCCCTTTCTAGCTCATCCTCATCACTTTCTCTTCCTTCTTCCTCGAGTTCCAGTTTCTATCATCGGGCGGTGAGGCCCCCTTTTGCTCCGAGATGCCTTGCAGAATCTACCGCTCATCCTACCCCACCGTCGAGTTGATTGACAGCGATTTATTGACCTTCCTCTTTTCGAATCCTCGAAACACTGCAGACGATAAACCCATATTCATTGATGCGATCACAGGCGCATATCGCAGTTATGGAGACATTAAGCGAAGGACGCGGTCACTTGCGCATGGTCTGCGGGAGCTAGGAGTCAAGCCTAAAGATATTGTTGCTCTGTTCAGTCCTAACACTATTGACTACGCCATCACTTGCTATGGTATCCTGGGCTGCGGTGCTACCGTGTCGCCTGTCAGTGCAGCGTACACCCCAATGGAACTGCAGGCACAGCTCGAGACCAGCGGCGCCAGATATCTAATTGTACATTCCTCACTTCTCTCGACAGCCGAAGAGGCGCTCAAATCCATCCCCACCATTCAGGTCATTCAAGCAGATGGATTCCGCGACAAGAAGGGCAAATCAACCGCCGAAGACCTTGCTTTGAACTGTCCACCCAGCCCGGTCGTCAGCATTGAGCCGAGTGAGGCTGAGGAACGGCTTTGCTTCATGTGCTTCTCTTCGGGAACCACGGGTCGAGCCAAGGGCGTGATGACAACTCACAAAAACCTAGTAGCCAATATACAGCAATGGGACGCCCAAATGCCCAGCGAGACGACAGGGAAACTGACGACAGTGACATTTTTACCATTCAGCCACATCTACGGTCTCACATCTTTTGTTTGCGTAAACACATTCGTGGGCAATACCGCTGTCGTTCTGAGTCGTTTTGATCTGGAAGTCTTCTTGTCGAGCTGCCAAAAGTATCGACCAGAAATGGTTAGCTTGGTTCCACCAGTGATGTTGTTGCTGGCCAAACACCCCTTGGTGAAGAAGTACGACCTTAGCAGCCTCAAAAGACTATTCTGTGCCGCAGCTCCATTGAGTGTGGAGCTTCGGGAGGCTGTTGAAGCACGGTTCAAGGAGTTGTATGGGACAACCATGTTGGGTCTGCAGGCTTGGGGCATGACTGAGACTAGCCCGCTTGGCTCGGCGGTCCCTGTAAACCGGCCAGATAAGAGGCATACAGTCGGGTGTATCACACCAAACATGGAATATAGGGTGGTTGACCCGGAGACCATGCAGGATACAGGGTATGAGTCTGATGGCTCTGCAGTCCCTGGGGAGTTGTGGTGCCGCGGACCGAATGTGACCAAGGGTTATTATCGGAACGAAGAGGCTACGAGGAGTGGTTTCGCAACCGATGAGGATGGCAAGCTGTGGTTCCGGACCGGTGACATCGGGACTATCGACAAAGACGGATTCATCATCATTGTTGACAGGATAAAGGAAATGTTCAAGTATAAGGGCTTGCAAGTCATTCCCTCAGAGCTAGAGGGGAAGCTCCTGGAACACCCTGACGTTGAAGATTCCTGCGTTGTCCCCCGCTGGATCGAAGAACAGGCGACTCATGTTCCAGTCGGATTCGTTGTGATAAGTCAGAACGCGAAAGCCAAGGGCCAGAAAAAAGTTGTTGAAGACATTGACAAATGGTTGAATGCAAGAGTCGCCAACCACAAGAAACTAAGAGGAGGCATCCATATCATCGACGTGATCCCCAAGTCGCCCTCCGGAAAAATCCTGCGGCGAGAACTGGCGGGCATGCTCAAAGAAAGGAGCGCAAAAACAGGATCGAAGCTGTGATTTTAAGAAGAAGAAAAAAGGGCCCATTGCATTAAAATGCTCCTCTTATCGGATTCATCGCACTGGATTTTGGAAGGGAAGGAGACAAGCGTTCAATCGTACAACATCAATGCAGACAATTCTTCCTCAGCCTCACCGAGAGCCGCGAGGCTACGGGGACAGACAGTGACACGTGCCCGTCAACGTCATTTCACGTGAGTTGACTGACTGCTCTTGGCTTTTTCCTCTTTTTTCTCTTTTTTGAGCTTTCTCAGTCTGCCGCTTTTGATCCAAAGTCTGAGCCAAAAACACACGTTCGACCCGAGCGCATTTAAACGCACTAGTCACAGTGACCCGAAAAATCTTGATGTCTTTCCGTCGGAAGCAGCACTCCCAGCCGCCGTCTCTGCCGGATGGGGGTTGACTATAGTTACTGGGGGAAGAAAATTTGTTTGCCAGGCCTTGTGTCCCTTCCAGCCATTGGTCTGCTCGGTAATCGGCAATGGCTGCAATCGCAGTGGTAAGGGCGCAAGGTTCCCAGGCCCAATCAGACCATCTACGATCCTTGGGCGGGGAGTGCCCGAGATCGGACTTCTCGGTCCTGGGCCATGCTATTGGAAGAACTGGACATGGCCTACCCCAAAAAAGAGTCGAGTATCCGTTGATGTTGCGGTCGAGGAAGGTTATGGGGAACTCTGGAACCAGTGTGGTTGGGGGGATATCGAGGGTGACGGTGAAGCAGGACCTCGAGATGATTGCTTCGTCTACAAGTCCTCTCCGTACAGTGGTTTGAGTCATTTTCCCTTGCGTCTTCCTGCATATTTGCGGTCTGATTCATGCCTCTTATGAGTGTCTATATCTCCCTTGCCACATCCCACTATCTTCCAAGGATTTTAATACATTCGCCGTCATTCTTTTGAGCCTCGTTCGATTTGACCGCAGTCACTCCTTCCAGGAAATGAAAATTAGTTCTCAAAGACCATTTCTTTCACAATATACAGGATGACAGGCGAACTCCACCACGATACCGTCCAAAGTGACAACGTCAGTCTAGAGATTCACCCTATCTCGTCACAATCAGACCACCCTACTTCGCTGGATCTCGAGAAAACACCGACAATCAGCATAAGGGACCATCGCGGAGACGACAAACCTGATCTTGTACGCATTCGCTCGACCATCTCGGCGCACGAGATACAAGGTGTGCCCAGCCACGATAGTTCATTCGTCGAGATCAATGCTGCCCAATACGAGCGTTTCAGCGAACGTCGAAAACTCGTCATCACCTGCGTTCTCTCGCTGTGTGGCTTTCTAGCTCCTATCTCTTCGACCACCATCCTTTCTGCCATTCCCGAGGTAGCAGCCACGTACAATACCGATGGCACCATCATCAATTTGTCCAATGCGCTCTACCTCATCTTCATGGGCCTGTCGCCTTCTCTTTGGGGTCCGATCTCCAACATCTATGGCCGTCGATGGGTGTGCATTGTCACCGCGATCCTGTTCTTTGCCTTCAGCGTCGGCACGGCCCTCGCACCGAACCTGGCGTCCTATTTTATCTTCCGGATGCTCACCGCATATCAAGGCACCTCATTTCTCATCGTCGGAAATTCCTGTTTGGGAGACATCTACACGCCTACGGCGCGAGCGACCGCTCTTGGCTGGTTTCTCTCAGGGACCCTGATCGGCCCTGCCTTTGGGCCGTTCATTGGAGGTATCATCGTCACGTTCCGTTCCTGGCGCGACATCTTCTGGCTGCAGTCTGCCCTCGGTGGCCTCGCAGCTGTCCTAGTAGTCTTGCTGCTTCCGGAGACGATTCCGGAAAAGAAGATTCATGATCTGCGGGAATATTCTCGAAAAGAACGGACTGTGCGCATTCTTCATTGGGTGTCTCCTTTCCGGATCGCCGTACTACTCTTCTCATACCCGAATCTCATCATCGCCGGCCTCGCATCAAGTGCTCTTGTCTGGAACATGTACGGCTTGCTCACTCCGATCCGCTACGTGCTCAATCCCCGTTTCCACCTGACATCTCCCATCCAGTCAGGGCTCTTTTACATTGCCCCTGGTTGCGGCTATCTGTTGGGGACGTTCTTTGGTGGTCGTTGGGCTGACAGCATTGTCAAGAAGTGGATTCGAAAGAAAAATCGACGTGTAGCAGAGGATCGGTTGAGATCGTGCTATGGCTTCATTGGCGGCGTCGTGCCCGCTTGCATGCTCATATACGGTTGGTCCGTCGAAAAGGAGGTTGGCGGTGTCCCACTGCCCGTGGCGGCAATGTTCGTACAAGGGGTTGCGCAACTCTTCTGCTTCCCCAGTCTCAACACCTACTGTCTCGACGTTATGCAGTCGAAGGGCCGATCCGCGGAGGTCGTGGCGGGGAATTATATGATCCGGTACGCCTTCGCTGCGGCGGGATCTGCTGTGTGTCTGCCCGCGATTGAGGCGATCGGGGTTGGCTGGTTTAGTACGATCTCTGCCGTGTTCCTTGTCATCAGCGCAGTTGGCGTGTGGGCCACGACTGTGTGGGGAGAGGGCTGGCGACACGCCGTTGACGACAGGAAGAAAAAGAAGAGGAAAGAAAAGGAAGAAGAGAAGGCGAGAGAGAAAGGAGGGGAAGAGGGTGTATGAATGTGGCTTCCATGACAGATCTGACAACCTCTGGCAAACCCCAAACAGGGCCAGTTTGCAGAGAAGAAGATCATTTCGAATGCTTTAACACGAGCGCTTTGTTTATTTCTGGCCATGGTTGACGACGACAAACTTACAGGGCAAGAGGTTGGATGGCGTTAATGACTCCACGAAGGGCAGGGAGAACATTGCTAGCACGCAGGCTTTCGGGGCATGTGAAACGTACAAAAATGGTATATGATGGTGTTGGCAATAGGAGGGGATAAGGGTTTTAGTATCTTAGGCTAGGTGTGGATATTGCAACTCGATGGAGGCACGCGCCTTGCAAGAGAATGTTTTTTGAGGGAAAGGATGGATTCGAGACACAAAATATATAGACTGTGGGAAATTCCCCTTTGAGCAGCGGGTTGCGGGCGGCGTTGGCCTGGTATAGACTTATAGAGCGAGCAAACAGTGTGAGAGACGTAGAGAATAAAAAAACAGAAAAGCCTGTAAGAACAGAGTCTGTATGGTTTGTGCTCTGGTGGAAAGAGGGTGTCAGCCTCGACCCGGACCATGATGCCGTATGTGTTGGAAGCCTTGCGAGACCTTGATAATATGTAAAATCGCAGCCGCCTTTGGTTACAGCGGTCCCTCCGTGTCGGGTATAGTCACAGGCTGGGGCGTGTCGTTGCTTTAGAACGTCTATAAGTATGAACGCCGTCCTCTCTCCGGACCAACCTCTAGGGATCGGTGCGAGTCGCACACTGCGGAGGCACGTCGACAAAACATCAACATGATTTGCTGCTTCACTAATTGCGAAGTAGCAGCTGCATTCTTGTGCATTACCTTCCAACCTAGGGCAGACATATGGCTCCAAGTCCTGTAACGACTAACTAGGGGGTCTTATTTGAGGGCTTGGATGGTTAACCGACCTGATGTCGCGTAGCTAGCCCGTCACTAGCCTTGCGGTGCGCATTCGCTAGGCTGCCCTCCTGCTACGGGATGATGAGGGGTTCAGGCGAGTGCGCAGACAGAAGTTCAAGACAAGAAGGCCGTACTCCAGACGCTTCCCGGTCTAGCTTCGTCGGCGCTTCTCGTGCGGTGAGTACCAGGTTAAAGTTGATGGTCTGCTGCGATTTGGCTGAAGAGGTGGCGCTTCTCATCTCCGTTATATCAGCATTGAGATCTTTCCATGAATGCGCAGTCCTTCAGTCGACAGGTCTTCACAAAGGTCCTACGATCCTCAGTCAAAATGAGGCTCAGGCAGCTTCTCTACATGGTGGAGTCTTCCAGAAATTCGCCTTTCATTCTCCTCCTGGCTATCTTGAGCTTGCCGCACCAATCTGTCGGGCAAAATGTCTCACTGATATTCGACGTCAATGCCCTGGATACTCTGCGGACGTGTAACCGTGGGTACGGGCGAAGTAAGCTCATGCTTCAGACATTGGGTGAGAATAGCCTGACCAAGCTCCAGTGGTCACCATAAACAACAAGGTCTATATCTACGGGGGAGTGAGCATCATTTCGAGCGGCACGACCAACACCCTATGGACCCTCAGTGAGCCTTGGACCTACCTAATACTGGGTACCACTCTCAAACTGCCCCAAGCTGATCGCATTACGGACCGTTACCTCCGCACTGTGGACTTCTCGACCATGCGCGATTTGTCCGATCCTTCTTTGATCACCGCCAAACCTCTTCCCAATTTTGTGCCTACTTTTGATGAGGGTGTCTTCTGGGAAAGTTTATAGCGTCCTTCAACACCAGCGACTGGACTTGGACCAATAAGACGATCTCGTCGGCGCTTGTACCGACGTGGAGCGAACGTGGCAGCTTGGTATTTCTCCCTGGAACTGAGCCAAACAGGGGTGGACTGGCCGTTGCACTTGGGGGTGACACAAGACCTGTAAGTCCGTGCTGGCGTCAAGGATCCTCTTGAACCTGTTTGACCTGTTAGCAACGCAGGACACCCAATATTCGAGCTTGAGATGAGTACTATTGTACGATACGGAGGCAGATGAGTGGTTTGAGCAAGATACCACCGCCGAAGGGGGAACGTACCCAGCGCCACGAGCCTCATTCTGTGCTGTCGCCATGAGCGCTGCAGATGGCAGCAGCCACAATATCTATGTATATGGTGGTTTACAGGCCGCTAGCAGCGACGCGCTTGGTGACGTCTGGATCCTCCCGCTTCCTGCATTCCATTGGATTCCTGTCACCACGGGCTCGGCACCGCGATCTGTGCCTGCCTGTGCTGTGGTGGCAGACAGGTATCTAGTCATATGGCGGCATGCATCAAACGATCGAATGGCCGATCCCAGCCAGATATGACTGGCCATGCGTTCAGGCGCAATCTGGTCTTGGGCTCTTCGACCTTACACACCTAGATTGGACATCCACTTATGAAGCACCACCCGAGCAGTCCTCCTCGGTGACAAGCAAATCTTCGACGACGTCGAATTTATATGCTATTCCCAGCCAAGTGTACAACATCATCTGCGGGAATGTCGGTGGGGGTGCGACTGTGACGGCGCCTAGTGCTGGGTTTGCGACCAACACTGCTCTCGCCTCGATATTTGCGGACGCCGTCAAAGTGTCGGGCTCTTCCAGCAGCACAGCTTCCGCTGCCACTCCGTCCATAGACAGCAGCCACACAGCTTCCGCGACTACTTCAGCCACAAGTAACGGCAGCACCGCCACCGGGTCACATTCGAGCCATTCGCATGCCGGGGCTATTGCCGGTGGTGTGGTGGGTGGCGTTGGCGGTCTTGTCGTTATCGTTGCCAGTCTAATATGGTTCGTCCGGCGGGGAAGAAAAAAGACTAGCTTTCCTGACACCCTTGAGATGAGCAATGGTCCACATGAGGCTGACGGTAAGAGCTCGCATAGGGTCAATCGTACGAGGCCATACGAGGTTGACGGGAATGAAAGGCACGAAGCTGGTGGAAGTGACAGGCATGAAGCTGATGGGAGTGAAAGGCACGAAGCCGATGGTCAGCGCACAGCTCAACCGGCGGGTCTTCTTCCTCAGGAGCTCCAGGCGCCTCTCCAATAGAATGAGCGTTCGGACTACATGTTATAGTATAACGAGGCAACCTCAAGACATCACTTCGCCGAGCAGAAGTAGGGCATGCTCGCCGCATCAAGGGAAGGCATCCCAGTAGCCTTCGTTGAACTGTAGAAAGAAGCACGTGCATCTTTGTTGGGATCACATGTGAAAGGCGGGGAGTGAAGCTGTGAAAGTGCACGTGGGGTTCGATGATTCGATAGGGAAACAATTCCATCCTTTTGTAGGTTTTCTCCATCGGCCTCCTCCGACGTCCATGGTTTGGATTGTCGTTTCTATCGAGTAAACACGCTATTGATTTCGGGTCACGCACTCCAGACCGGCACAAAATCTTCTGATTTTATTTTCATATTCTCTTTTCCTTTCCCTTGCATTAATTGCTCTTGCGGGTCGCCTGCGAGCATTGACTCAAATCTATCCTTTGCCAGTGTGATTTTGACATCTGCTTATATCTAGAATATCTCGAATATCGTGAGAAGTGGCTTCCCCCGCTGCGTCGAGTTGCCTTATACTCTCCCCAGTTTCCTCCTTATATACCGGCCATCGAACCAGCCATGGAAGTCAATATCCAGCCGCTCTCAGCAGCTCTGGTCGACAAGACCCACGCTGTGCACACCAACTCAACCTCCAGCATCACCGTAACGCACATCGCCGCCGACATAATCGACATGATGTTCTCATCCTCCACGAATCTGACCACCACCGTTCTCGGGGCGTCGATCGTTTCGTGTTCAGACGAATACTTCGCCGCCGCCTCCAACCTCCTGACCCCCACGCCTCCCATTCGGAGACCGGGAGTATTCGTGCACACAGGAGCGTGGTATGATGGATGGGAAACGAGGAGACATAACCCTAAGGAGTTTGACTGGGTGGTGATTAAACTCGGGTGTGTAGCACAGATCGATGCAGTGGAAGTGGACACCAGTTACTTTAACGGGAACGAGGCTCCGATGGCGGGATTGGACGGAGTTGCCTTCTCGAGTGACGAGGACGACAGTGCCGTCGCACAAGAAGGCTATGACGGGTGGACTGAAATTCTCCCTCCCCAGAAATGTGGACCCTCCCGACGGCAGGCATGGAGAGTGTCTGGTCCAGGGGTACAAGGGAAGCAGTTCACGCACTTGAGGTTAAAGCAGTACCCCGACGGAGGGATTGCACGGTTGAGGGTCTACGGGACAGTCGTGCCCCCTTCACTGCCCATCAGTGTGACCTCCGGGAAGGAAGAAAGGCCTCGAGAAGATCTGGCAAGTGCGCTCAACGGTGGCGTTGCCATTGAATGCTCGGACCAGCATTTCGGCGGAAAGAATTATTTGCTTCTGCCCGGCAGAGGGAAGGACATGGGTGACGGATGGGAAACTGCTAGAAGCAGGGTCAAGGGTCACACGGACTGGGTGATTGTTCGGCTGGGATTGAAGGGAAGGAAGATTGAGCAAGTCATCGTCGACACCAAGGATTTCAGAGGCAATTTCCCTCGGGCGGTCACGGTCGAGGGATGGGCAATGGAAGGTGCGAAGGCAGCCCTGGGCACCGAAGCAGATCCTAAGCATGATGAGAGAGGATGGACGGCATTGGTTCAAGGGGAGCAGCCTTGTCAAGCGGATACAGAGCATGTTTTTGAAGGGGAGCAGCTGGTGGCTTCTGAGCTTCCGGAAGGCCATGTGTGGACGCATGTGAAGATGACCATTACTCCTGATGGAGGGGTGAAGAGGCTGAGGATATTGGGGAAGAGGGCATGAGGGTACCCTCCAGGATACATATATACCGTGTCATTGATCGGTAGCGGTTGCGGTTCTATACAGGAGTCCCGAGGACCGACTTGTTACTGGGTACAGCAACATCTCCATCTCACCACCTTTCAGCGAGGAATCTTCCGCTCCTCCGCCGAGTCTCGATTCGTCTGGTGCATGCCAAGAGCGACATCGGCCCCATCTGCGTCGCGCCTATTGGTCAGTTTTTCTCTCCGCAAAATCGGGAAGGGAAAATTCGCAGATTGGGATGCCACCGAGGCATCCACAAAGTGTCCATGCCACTCCCACTCCCACTGCCACTTCCGCACCTCCAGACACTACACACCACACACCACCGGGGCACCCACTGACTCATAATTCATTTTCCTGTCTTGCCGGTCTTATTCAGAGCTTTTCTCATTCCACCCCCTCCCTCTCTCTGGCCGTACGGTTGGACTCTCTGCTGCCCAGGCAATCATGGCGACCAAAATGACGGCCATACGGCCTGGCTCCAGTGCCATTCGCTCTTTGTCCAGAAGGAGACCGTCGTGTTCCCAGTCCTTTTCCTCCACGGCTCCGGCAGCTGCTTTGTCGCCTTACCGAAAGTCCCAAAAATCCTCTCCCGAGCAGGCCAGGCGACCGGCGACGACTGCCGCCGCTCAAGCACAGTATGTGAACACGTTAGCAGAAAAAGGTCCTCGCGAGGATCGTGCGCGCTGACCTGGGTGCAGAACCACTCGACCCATCCCCAGTCCCGCCTTTAACAACGACTTCCGCCGAAATGAGCCCTCCCCTTTGGTCAACCGGCAAATGCCTGAGCTCGACGATTCGTTTGTGGGGCTCAGCGGCGGAGAAATCTTCCACGAAATGATGCTGCGACAGGGTGTCAAGCACATCTTTGGCTACCCGGGCGGCGCCATCCTTCCAGTTTTCGACGCCATTTACAACTCAAAACACTTTGATTTTGTTCTGCCCAAGCACGAACAAGGTGCGGGGCACATGGCAGAGGGCTATGCCAGAGCGTCCGGGAAACCTGGCGTCGTCCTTGTGACTTCCGGCCCCGGCGCAACAAACGTCGTAACCCCAATGCAAGATGCGCTCTCCGATGGGACACCCATGGTCGTATTCTGCGGCCAGGTCCCTACCACCGCGATTGGCACGGATGCTTTTCAAGAAGCTGATGTGGTTGGAATCTCAAGAGCATGCACAAAGTGGAATGTTATGGTCAAGAATGTGGCTGAGCTGCCCAAGAGAATAAAAGAAGCCTTTGAAATCGCAACTTCGGGACGACCAGGTCCCGTCCTCGTCGATCTGCCCAAGGATGTCACAGCTGGAATCTTGCGGAGACCCATCCCGATGCAGTCAACCCTGCCCTCACATCCTTCGGCCGCCACCCTAGCTGCCAGAGAGCTCTCTCGGAAACAATTGGAGGACACCATCGCCCGTGCGGCCGACCTTATCAATATTGCAAAGAAGCCCCTGATCTATGCGGGTCAGGGCATCTTGGGCGCTCCCGAGGGTCCGAAGCTCCTCAAAGAATTGGCTGACAAGGCCTGTATCCCCGTCACGACGACCTTACAAGGTCTCGGCGGATTCGACGAGCTTGATCCCAAATCTTTACATATGCTCGGTATGCACGGCGCGGCCTATGCCAACATGGCGATGCAAGAAGCCGACCTCATCATCGCCTTGGGAGCTCGCTTTGACGACCGAGTAACCCTCAACGTCGCCAAATTCGCCCCGGAAGCGAAGAAGGCCGCGGCCGAGAAGCGAGGAGGTATTGTGCACTTTGAAATCATGCCCAAGAACATCAACAAGGTTGTGCAAGCGACCGAAGCTGTCGAGGGCGATGTGACGACCAATCTCGGCGAACTTGTCCCCAAAGTCAAGGCGGTCCAAGATCGGCCTGAATGGTTTGCACAGATCAACGACTGGAAAAAGCGATTCCCGTTGAACAGCTACGAAAAGGAGACGCCTGATGGCCTGATCAAGCCGCAGACCTTGATCGAGAAGCTCTCAGACCTGACCGCTCCCAGGAAAGAGAAGACGATTATCGCCACCGGTGTAGGCCAACATCAAATGTGGGCCGCTCAGCACTTCCGCTGGCGGTATCCCCGGACCATGATCACCTCCGGAGGCCTTGGCACGATGGGCTACGGCCTCCCGGCTGCCATTGGCGCGAAAGTTGCGCGACCAGACGCCCTTGTCGTGGACATTGACGGTGACGCCTCTTTCAATATGACTTTGACCGAACTCAGCACGGCCAGTCAATTCCAGATCGGCGTCAAGATTATCGTCTTGAATAACGAGGAACAAGGCATGGTCACGCAATGGCAGAGTCTCTTTTATGAAGACAGATTCGCCCATACACACCAGAAGAACCCCGATTTTGTGAAGCTCTCGGAGGCCATGGGCGTGCCGGCACGGAGATGTTTGAAGCCCGCTGATGTGGAAGAGAGTTTACGGTGGTTGATCGAGGGTAGTGGAGAGGGCCCAGCGCTCTTGGAGGTTATCACAGACAAGAAGGTACCAGTGCTGCCGATGGTGCCGGCAGGCAAGGCATTGCATGAGTTTTTGGTGTATGACGAAGGTATGTTCCCTGACACATCCGAGCCATGTCGGCACAGGCTAACATTTACTCCAGCGAAAGAAAAGGAGCGGAGAGCGGTCATGAAGCAACGGTCGGGACATTAAGAGAAAGTGTGTGAGAGAGGATGGGGGCCAAAAATTCGACGATATTCTGGGATCCAAAAAGTTGCATCAAAAAAGGTCGCAATATGAAGAACCCATCAGGCGATTGGAATCTGTACAGGCGAACATACGCATTTCTTGCACGAACACTTTTTTTTTAAAACCATCAACAAAGCTTCCCGAGAGCTGATTCGTTCCTGTCTGCTCTGTTCTGCATCGTTCTGCGTTGTTTTTTCTATTGTAGCTTCAAGGGCCTTGACTTGACTTGATCAGGTTGCGCAGCTGCTTGGTACCAGCGCGAAACGAGACGCCACTCGCGGCTCAGGACATGCACGTGTGTACGTATGTATGTAGCTGTAGGTATTCCTGGGTGCGGCGATGTATGTGTGTGTGCGGGCGTGCGTGTATACCTCGTCCACGTTGGTGCATCCATCCTCCCGAGCCGCTCGACTGGGCTTCTGGTCCCTCCCCCCACCGAACCCGAACCGAACCAACCCAACCCAAACCAACTAGACCTCAGACCTGACTCCTCGTCGTGTCGACCTGTTTTGGCTTCCCTTCCTTCGTTGCGGGAACGTGAGAATGCGGCCTCATCGGAGCTCCTGGAACTTGAACCTTGCCGTGGTCAACAAACACCATGTTGATGGGTCATTGGGCACGCGGCGCATGGGTCATGTCTGTCCTTGGGTCGCCGTATGTATCGGTTGAAGAAGACATGCCTATCTATCCATGTCGTTATGATTCGTGGCACGCGGTGATCCCTGTGCTGTCCCGGGTGTCCTGCACCCTTCTGCGCTGCCCGCTCCGCGCCCGAACTTGGTCTTTTGGTAACGTGTCGTATCCAAGGAAAGGAATGGCAGCGATGCGGCAAGGGCAAAGAGGAAGGCTCGCTCATTAAGACCGGTGTCTCCCGCCCAAGGGATTTTCAATTGATCATCATTTGAACGGGAAACTCGTCAAGAAAATCATACGTCACAAGCTGCCCTGCTGGAAGCGGAGATCATGCATGCAACACAACACAAAGCACAGCACAGCACAGCACAGCACAGCACAGCACAGCACAGCACAGCACAGCACAGCGCTTTGTTGCCTTTTTGCTTTACAGAGAAAGAAATAAAAAATGGCCTACCGTTGCACCGTCACCGTCTTCAGCTTCTCTTCGACCAACCGCCCGACGATCTTGTCCAACATGGCCGGCGCGCCGCCCTCCCTCCCCGCAACGCCTTCGAGGTATCCGACGACGCTCTTCTCGACCAGTTTCCCGACAATGTCGATCTCGACGTTGACCTCCTCGCCGGCCGTCTTGGCGGCCATGACGACCCTCTCCTGAGTATACGCGATCAACATGACCTCGAACCAGCCCTCCTCGTCGTTCACATTGGTAACGGTCAAACTGGCGCCGTCGAGCGTAATATAGCCTTTTTCCACGATATATCTCAGCACAGCCGGTTCGCGCGGCCGGAGGCGGAAAGTCAGCGCGTTGCCATCGGGCGTGACTCGCAATATCGTCGCGATGGTGTCCACGTGGCCCTGCACGAAGTGTCCCCCCATCCGTGTCGATGCGCTCACCGCCCGCTCCAGGTTGACCCTGCTGCCTTGCTTCAAACTGCCCAGGTTCGTGCGCCGCAGCGTCTCGGGCGCCACCCCGACCTTGAAGCTGGAAGCGTCGAACTCGGTCACCGTCAGACACGTGCCGTTGACGCAGATCGAGTCGCCCAGCGCCGCGTCCGAGAGGATCGAGCCGCAGTCCGAGATGGTGAGCGACGTGCCGTTGCCGCCCGAGGTCGAGGGGTCGAGCGCCACGAGCGACGTGACGGTGCCGATCGTTTCGACGAGGCCGGTGAACATCTTCACTTTTTCTTGTCCCTTTCTCTTCCTTTGGGGGAGGATATGCGTGGTTGATTGGACGGCGTATGTATCGACGTGTGGAACGCGTACGATTCTGTTGCAGAGGTGTTGTGCAGTGTTCTCTGCAGAGGTGTCTATCACACAGCTTGCCAACCAGGTCGCAGGGATAATGAGTCTCTGGGAAGAAATCAATTGATGAGAGTGAGGATGAGATGGTCATTGGTCATGGCGATGATCAATGATTGATGATGCGAGCGCCAAGATTTTACGTTTCCGGCATCGGCCGTGACAGCCTCGCGTGCTCGCCACGTTGCGTAGTAGCAAGGCTGACTCGGGTTCAATTAACCCAGACTGTCCCATCTTATTTCCTTTTCCCTAGCATGTTCGATGGAACAGACGATCTGAAAAGCAGCTTCTCCGTTGGCGTATCCTAGGGGTATCATGTTATACACACATCACAGACAATCCAAACTCGCCACCAACGCTAACTACTAATTCCACACCATGCCGCTAAATGTTCTGTACATCCCTCGCCGTCGTTCGTGGTAATATATGTCTATCCTTTCTTCCTTCCGTTTCTTTCGTTAGAGCCTGGTATTTCTTTCTTTTTATTTCTCTCCACTTTCCCTTCTTCCTCTTATAATAATAGTCCGATTTTTCGGGTCCCGTGTGCGTCCCCGTCAATGAATCGATCAGTCGCGCGTTTGGTTCGCGAGACAAGGAGTATATTATACGGCATCCTCGGCTTGCTGTAGACGGCGTATATACTCCGCTTGACAGAGCGTGGCGTCGGAGTTTCTGCCTCGTAGGCCCGGAACATGCAACATGCTCGCCATTGCTCTGCTTTTTGGGTTCCGGGGCACACGCACACACACATATATATATGTTGGTGGGTGGTTTCCTCAATGGATGGATACTCTCCTATGAGAGGTGGACCGGCCACGACCAAATCCATTTCTGGCTGGCTTTTGTGATGATACCACATTCCGAAGCTCCGCTTCGGAGCTTGAGTTCCAGCAATCCTCGTCTACGACGATAGAGGACTAATCTCGTACCTATGCGTTCACAAGAATAGTGGTGGGATTTAGGCCTCGAGTCCCGCGTGACCACGGACCTCCGCTTGGTCAGTGCCATCTCGTGATTTACGTTTCTGTTCACTTATTGTCAACCGCTCTTTTTCCTCTTCGGTCGACAGCTCAAAGCAAGCTGGAGAAGGCTATTTCGGTCTGCGCGACGCGATAGTCAGCGTACTGGTTGATGACAGGAGCGCCGCGAATGCCTCACCTTCTTCATGCTTAAAATAAATTTCCGCCTTGTCCAGGTACGGAAGACTTCGATCCCAGGAGAACCGTCTTGCCAGCGATTTAGCCGACACAAGCGTCGCATCCGAGTTCGTGGTCGACATGGATCCTCTTCGTTTTCCAGATTCGGTCTCGTCGATTTGTGCATGTATGCCAGTCAACAAAAGAGTTGACTTCCGTCCCGTCCCTTTGCTCTCAATCTTGATGGTGTCTTGACACACTGGACCCGGACGTCAGCAGCATAACTACTATTTAATCATGGGCGGATACTGACGGTTGAATTCCATGTACTTCTTCCGCCGCTTCCCCCTCTCCTGAATCAAATGCACCATAAACCGCAACTCGGATCCCATGTCCCAGACCCTCACGTTCTCCAGGCCGACTAGGCGATCATCATCCCTGCCTCTGTGAGGACGACAAATCTCAGTCACAGGCACAAGCAGTCGAAGATTGGAGCCGTAGACTAGCTTTTGAAACTCTTCACAGTCTGTCCCAAGAGGCTAGTGAGCTCAAAGTCCACCTGTACGAAAAACGCTCTCGCGGACAGATGATGAACTCACCAGGGATACTATTGAATTTGTACTGGACCCAAGTTGTGGGAATTCTCGGATGGTCCCTCCGTTGGCCGCCTTCGATTGTGAAGAAGGTCAAACCTTCCCCTTGCTCTACCACAGCAGTGAGTTCATCGCCGTTGATCGAATAGGGAATAATGTATTCCCAAGTGGGCACTATAAAATGGAGACGGATGCTGATCAGGTTCAAGAGCTAGGGAATTTGCCAGAAACGGGAGGGGTCATACCTCGTTGCCTGAAGCGTATGGTTCTCTTGTCATTCAAGGTCCAAATATCCTCCACAGCTGCGCCGTTCCTTATGAGCAACACCCTTCCCGAGTCACTGGCCTCTATCGAAACTCCATCTAAGGCCCCGGGCTTTTGCCAGACGAAGTGGACTGACTCAACTCGTCTGGGAGACGGTCAGCAACGATTCTTTATCCCATAGTGATTTGGGATCGAGATACATTTCAGCAAAGTTAGCATCAGCAGTAAGCTGTTCGACAAATTCTTTTTGTTCTTTGCTAGACGCGAGCTTGACATGGCGATACTGGTCCCCGGGCGTGACCCCTACAAAGCTGTCTGGCAGTTGCAATTGGTCATCGATATCTTGGCCGAAGTCCATCTCGTCATTGTCGAATGTCGAAGCTGGCAGCCGTAACGGAGCCATGGGCTGAGTTTGCGCGTTTGATGAAAGTTCTGGAGAGTTAACGTGACTCCCAGATCCCCTTATTGTGAGCGACGGCGATGTCGGAGTGGGTGATGGGCTAAAGGAGCTAGGCAGAGGGGTTGGAGATGAGCTTGACATAGCAAAGGCGAGCATATCCCGCATGTTGCTCATTTGGACAGATAGTTGGTCAATTTGTTCACTGCACAAAGGCAGTGTTAGTTCCAGGAATGATTACTCTTGAAGCTGGCCAGGAACTTACGATACCAGTCCGCCTTCCAGCCAGGTTAGCATCTGGATGTTCCGCGACAGCTCTGATCGGAGCTTGTCGACCACAACGGCTTTTGTGGTCCATTCAATCGTCTGGTAAACGGTCTTGAAGGCTTCGATCCACTGCTGCCAGGCCGCATCGGTTCCAGGGGGAGTCCCTTTCTTTTTCACGATATGCTCGTACTTTGTCGCGATATTTTTCAACTTGTTGGTTGTCTCCGCGCATTGTTCGAGGATTGCCTGGATGTTGCTCTTTATGTCGGTATGAGCTTTGAGGATCGCACCATGCCGACGAAGCCTGCTTGCAGCCGATCCCACACATGACTGGTATCGATCTATCTCTTCGAGAAAGCGTCTGATCTCGCTCGGGGCATGTTTAGCACCATGTAGTGTTCTTGCAACCTGTGTGGTGATCTGAACTAATGCGATAACATCTCCTACGCCGTTAATAGCCATAGGATGCTGAAAATGGGGTTGGGGTCACCAAACAGAAGCAAGCAACACTGGGAATATCACCTCAGGAAAGCTAATGCCATCGAGTGAGCGTAGGAAGACCACATGGACCAACAGGCCCCAGCAGAGTCATCAGCGTGGTCATTGTCAGTGGATTGGGCGTGGTGTGTCGGCAGCTTCCGCGCGTGGCAGAGGTCCAGGAGATGCTTTCCCGGGCGTCGAATTTCTCGACAAGCTCAACTTCGAGGAAGACGAACAATTCGGGCCAATTGGAATGGGAACAACAGCAACGTGGGCAGCAAGTAATACCGAGTAAGCCTTGCCCAAATTCACCCCGCGCTAGATTCAATCAAGAGATGGCAACAGGTGACGCGAAAGGCGCAAGATTTTGAAACAAGGCAACTGTTGTGATGTCTTTAACTACTGCTCAGTGTGGCCGGGATCGGTACGAGGGAATCTTGGATCCGGTCCGTTGGCGTACTTGACATGGGGCTCGGGCGTCGCATCGATCCAATAGTGTGGCAGCTGCAATGAGGCCGGGCGCGTGAAGCCGCAGGGTTCAGGGGCTCATGGGGCTTCCACAAGGCGACCTGGGATGCTGCGCCCCCTAACTGTTGGGCGTGGAGACGAGGTAGGCGGTAACAGCCTCTCCCCTTCCAGATGAACTTGGTTAGTATGGCTTTTCGCAAGGCGAACCCAGCCTGATTGAGTGATTTTGTAGTCCCTACTCTGGGCCGTCCATGTAGTCTCTGCTACCAAATTAAACAGCAACACTTTGCAATGCTTTGGATCCTATTCCGGTCCGCCCAATACTCTGGGTGAAAGTGAGCTTGTTCGCGCATGTTTCTTCAGCCCGATGCTGGCACCACTGGTACATTTTGAAGTAGCCAGAACTTGACAGGCAGACAAAGGACCATCATGGTTAAGAGGCATAAGGCCTTTCGGGACTTGGAGGATGAGTATAAGCATATACGGGTATGTCGAGCTTGTTGAGGTGCCTGATGCCCAAAGTGCATTTCAGCGCTGATCGGTATTGCATCAGGATCCAACTCTTCGTCGACGCCTCATCTTACGGGATATCAATGAGCGATCCTTCAGCCGAGCTCATGTTCGAGCTATTATGGTCGCTGGGACTGGATTCCTTACTGACAGCTATGACGTCCGTGGTCTCCCCCAAGGTGTTCTCTTCTTTCGAGCGTACTGACATCTCATCAGATTTTTGCCATCAACTTGGTATCCGACATGATGTAAGGCTGTTGTCTCTCTGTGGCAAAACTTTTGCCATAGGGTCCTTCACCGTCTGTACACGCTGACAGAGACCGGCAGCGGGTTTTGTTACTTTCCAAAACATGGAAACAAGATCCCTCAGGTCGACGACACCTTGATCAAGGTCATGACCTCTGTCGGCACTATCGTTGGGCAGTTGTTCTTTGGTTGGCTCGCTGACAGGGTTGGGAGAAAGCGTATGTATGGCTATGAGTTGCTGATCATCATGCTGGCAACTTTGGGCCAGTGTATCACCGGGCCTTCTTCAGCAATCGGCATAACAGGTTTGTTGGTCTTTTGGAGGATCCTCATGGGCATCGGTATCGGTGGAGATTACCCCTTGGCAAACATCATCACTTCCGAATTCGCTTCGACTAAATGGAGAGGCACAATGGTTGCAGCGGTGTTCTCAACTCAGGCTCTAGGGCAATTCATCGCTAGCCTGGTTGCTGTGGTTGTGATCGCAGCGTTCAGATCGCAAATCGACGACGACAACAATGTCTGTGAGGACGGTACCTGCACTCAATCCGCTGCTGCACACCTGGCTGTTGATAGGATGTGGAGGATCATCATCGGAGTCGGTGCAGTTCCTGCAGCGTTGGCTCTGTATTACCGCTTGACCATCCCGGAAACGCCTCGATATACCTTCGACGTGAATCGTGATGTGGAGCAGGGCTTTGCAGATTACAAAGGATGGGTTCAAAACACTATTGGGCCGAGGACCGGACAAGGGGAAGTGGACGATGAGAGAAGGGCGATTCGTGCCGGCTTAAGACCTGGTGAGACCCTGGGCGGCCTCGATGCTGCCATCGTCCCCCAGTCATCCTGGAGCGATTTCAGGCGATACTTCCGACAAGATTCCAATGGCTGGATTCTCCTTGGGACCTGTGGGTCATGGTTTTTCCTGGATGTTGCATACTATGCCCTGGCGTTGAACAATACCATCTTCCTTCAGAAAATGGGGTTTGGATCCGTCAACAGCAGCGACCCCACAAGATTATACACGATCCTCTGGAACGGCGCAGTTGGAAATCTGGTTCTGGTGGTTGCAGGGGCTATACCAGGCTCCATCTGTGCCATACTGCTCGTCGACAGAATTGGTCGCAAATCCATTCAAGTGGGAGGATTCGCAATGATCACCATACTCCTCCTGATCCTCGGCAGCTCTTTCGAGAGCATGTCCGACGCTTCACGGGTGGCTGTGTTCGTTCTGATCCTGTTCTTCGTTAACTTTGGTAAGTTTTTTTTTTAACTCCAAAACTTCATGTGCGCCCTCAATTAATATTTTTTTTGAAGGTCCTAACTCCACAACCTTCATTGTGCCTGGCGAATGCTTCCCAACGAGGTACAGGAGTACGTGTCATGGACTGGCGGCAGCATCTGGCAAAATCGGCGCAGTTCTGGCCCAAGCACTGACGGGGCCATTGCGAGGAATTGGGTTTGAAAAGGGCAAGACAGACGCCTCACCATGGCTTCCCCACGTCATCCAGATACTCGGCGCCTTTGCAATGTTGGGTTTACTATGCTCCTTCCTCATCCCAGAAACGATGGGACGGTCGCTTGAAAAGCTGGCCGGTGAAGAGCCCAGAGCACTGGAAGGCGAAGAAGCAAGCGATGACGAGGAAACCCATCCGAAGTCGTTGCCTGAGCTGATGTGGGTTTCATGCACGCCTGTGGTGTTGTTTCAGTGGCTTTTCCGCACCCGAGGCCACGCAGCTGAATATGATGGTATCGATGGTGGCAAAGGAGCGCTGACCGGAGAGAGGATATCATTGTCAATGGTCGGAACCACCAACGAGCCATTCCCTGCAAAACCTGTTGTCCCCGAGGGCGATCTGTCTGAGCATCAAGGGGATGGTGGACTAAAAATCCTGGAGACTGAGATAGAGAGGTTATCCGGTGAAAGCTCCGACCGAAGAGTCCATGATGATGAAATCCAGCGGATCACTTGATTGATCGACGCTGGAACTTTGTATTTGACATGTTCTGGTCACAGAACTTCGTCGAGAAACAGTACAGTCGAAGAATAAATGTTGCTGGCTCAAGTCAACTGTAACTCTACATGCATCAGTCGCATTGATTTCATCAAGCCTTATTCATGAACAAACCACGAAAGCATGATAATAACGGTCATCCGGGTCCCCAGCGCGACAACCAACTTCGCCTGCCCTCCAGAATGGAAGTCCCTGCATAGCGCAAGCATTCCCGGAGCATCATAATGGTAAAGGGGATCGCCAAGACCGTCCAAGTCAGCTGACCTAATATGCGGGAAACTTTCCCTTTCAAGAGAGAAAGACATCCCCTCACTCGGAACCAAGGTGCGGGACTTTATTCTTCTCATCAAGCATCTTCCACGGCAAGTGGTTGCAGAACCCTCAATTGCACGCCCCTATATACTTGTGCTCGCACATCATTGGCAAAACTTAGCCGTTCCTGCCCTTGAACCTCCTACGCTCATCTCTGGAATCTAAAAGAAACGGGCCCTGGTTACTCAGACCACAACCACCATCAAGATGAGCGAGATTCCACCAGGTCCGTCCGATCCTCCGCACACAAAACTCAATGGACACGTCTGTTAACGAAGGAAAAATAAATTCCACAGAAGTCGAAGCACACCATAAGATAATGCGGGAGACATTGTACGGATCTCCTCTCATGATCTCTGAAGCCTCGTTGCATGACTGACACATCGGGCCAACCACTACAGCTTCGCAATGGCAACTCCCCTTCTAACCCCCCTCAACCTGACCCTCCTCGTCCTCATCCTCACCCTAGCGTACCTGCGTCTGCGTCCACAATCGCCGCCATCCCTTCCGCCCGGCCCCCAACCCATCGTTTTCAAGACGTTCACCCCAAGGACTCTCCTCAAGTACAACGGTACCGACAACTCGCCCGTTTACCTTGCCGTCCGCGGAAAGGTGTACGACGTCTCTTCCGGCCGCAATTTCTACGGGCCGGGCGGTCCATATGAGAACTTTGCGGGACGAGATGCTACGAGGGGCTTGGCTTGTCAGAGCTTCGATGAGGAAATGTTAACGAAGGACCTGGATGGACCGCTCGATCCATGTGACGATTTGACTTCAGAGCAAGTAGATAACTTGAATGGATGGATTGAGAGATTTGATGAGAAGGTCAGTACTCACACTGCTATTTGCGGAATGAATTGTTTTGGAACAGATTGGTCGAGAGACAGTATGCTGACGTTCCACTTCAGTATTTGGTGGTAGGCAAGCTGCTACCCTTCCGGAAGACCGATTTCCATTGATTTCATGATGTACCGGACTCCTGAGGATGGAAGAGAAAGTAGAATAGCAAAGCAAAATATGTTCTGGTACAAGCGTATCTTTTCATTTATGGTAATTGTTGTCGTAGCTAAAAAGCTCTAAAGGTACAATCTCGTAAGCTGTTCAGCAGCTAACCCCATGCCATGGTCATCCGTTGATTAATCCCTCACCAGACGAACTCCCCGGTGCCTGTGTCGCCACTGGATGAGAGCCACCACCATCTAAGGGTATCCATCACTCCCTCCATACACCCCCTACAGCTCATTTTTAGCGCTTGTGGCACTCTTGGAAGCAGCGCTGGCAGACTTGGATGCGGATGCAGATGCAGCGGCACCAGTGCCTTGCGCTTGTCCAAGAACCCATTGCAATCCACTCTTAATTCGTTCAAAAATGGTTCCTGAGGGTGTCGATGTTCCGTACTTGAAGTAATTGTATTGCTTCTTGGCTTCGGCG